AAAGTTCACTGGAACTGTTTTGCAGGTCTAGCATGCTGAACCAATGTAAACTGTTTATGTGCACTCCTCATCCCTCCAAATGCCGGTAAAAATTCATCACTTGTTACACCAGTGACAGAAGGGAAAGCAAAATGGTCTCATGTCTATAGTTCCTGAGCCAAAAGAGGAGATATTTATCTTTGTTAGAGTTAAGATTAAGAGCAATTCATTGGAAGAATGATGACGCAAAGCAACCTTCTCCCTTTTTTTTTTTTGGCTTTCAGGAAATTCTAATTAATCTGCTCATCACCTCTCTCCTGCAGGGCATTTCCATCAGTCAGAAAGGGAAGGTTCAGGTTTAAGAATAAGCTTCTATTTCCTCATCTAGGAGTGGAGAATGCACTGTATTCCATGGTGTTTTAGTCCTTTTTTCTTTATGTAGGCTTTGAAGAATGTGGAGGGGTGTGAGGAGGGAGGAGAAGTAGTTTCCAAGTGTGAAATTTAGCTTCTGTGCAGAGCCAGGCAGGACAGAGGCGGCATGAGATTATCAGACTAAAACACCTGAGCGTCAGGAAAAGCATTCTGAAAACAGCCAGCCCTGTGTGTGAAGGCTTATCTTCAGATAAACTAGGAAGGGTTAACTCCTTATCTTTCCTGCTTCTCTTCTATCTTTCCTCCACAGTCCAGGGATTCTTAACCTCAGCACTAGCAGCATCTTGGACCATACCACCCTTTGTAGCAAGGACTCAGTTGGCATGGTAGCGTCTGGCATTAACCTTGGTCTGCTTCACAGATATCAATAGCAGCCACCCTGCTACACCCCATTATGACAACTAAACATATTCTTGGACATGGCCCACTGTCTCGTAGAGACACAATCACCCATTAAAGACCCCTGCTTGAGTCTTTTCTCCCTTTGCTTGGAGCCCTTAGCATTTGCCCCGAGGATGACACTCGGCCAGGCCGTTCATGTGCTTGTGTAGATGCCTCTCAACATGTAATACATACGTAACAATCACCTTGGGAGTCCCCTAAAACATGTACTCAGTAGCTTTGGGAAGGTCTTGCAGCTTTTCATTTCTAACAATAGATATTGCTGCTTCCGGTTTTTGGACAACACTTTAAGGGCAAGCACCTTGTCATAGTGTCCTCATGCCTTGTGGGAACTTCATTTTACACAGGCAGCAGCTGAATTCAGAGAGCTCCTAAGTGGCTCACTGTCTCCAGAGCCTGGGCTCACCACCAGCAACCTCAGTTGACACTGGGCCAGTGTCTTTGGGTTCATTCCCTGCTGACCTGTCTCAGGTAATGAACCTGTGATTGACTCATCTGAGCTTGAGGCCTGCGCATGCGAAGGCCTGGACTTTCCATATTCTGCTTTCCATTCTTAGTGTGAGCGACATCTGGCCCGAGTGCATATCCTGGAGCCTACAGAGATGGATACCTGCTTTGTGCCTCTGTTTCAGCCTGCCCCAGAACCAGCTCATTTCACGTGCCCTTCTGCCTGTCTGCAGGCCCTGGGGCTCCTTTTCCCTCCCAGCTTCCTGCCCTAGCTGTCTGGACTTCTCATCTCCCCCTAACTGATTGCCCCACACTCTTCCTTAGTCTTCGGTTCTGTCTCAGCATTGCATCTCACCTCTTCTTCCCATGATGGGTAGGGAGTTTTAGGCATGGCTTAGGTCCTGGAGTGGGGAAGAGAGCGACAGGTCCTTGGCTAGGCTCACTATAAACAGAGGATTCACACTGGTGGCCACCACAGCAAAGCACCCGCTGGTGAGGAATGCGCCAAGTGTCAGCCTGTGCTGTGGAGGGAAGGGGCCTTATGCCAGTGAGTGTAGGCAGGTCTGCTGAGAGCCTCTACTCTGTGTCCCTGGTCCTTCTTTTCCCTTGAGATGGGGCAGTTTATCATGCCCCTCCTGCCACATCCCAGTTCCCAGGTTTAGGGATTCAGGAAGTAATTTGGATAGAACATGACAAACTCTGTAAAGGGCCAGATAGTGAATGCTGAGCGGGCTGTGAAGTTTCAGCTGCAGCTGCCCATTGTCACTGCCCCCAGAGCACAAAAGCAGCCAGAGATGGTATATAAACAAACGTGACTTTATCCGCATAAAAACCTACTGACGGACACCAAAATCTGAATTTCACACATTTTTTCCTTTCTTTTCCTTCCTTCCTTCCTTTCTTGCTTGCTTCCTTCCTTCCGGCCTGCTTTCCTCCCTCCCTCCTTCCCTTCTTTCTGTCTTGCTTTTTTTTGAGACAGGGTCTTGCCTCTGGTGAAGGCCAGCCGTGAACTCCCTAGTACCCCAGGCCAGTCTTGACTCACAATCCTCCTGCTTCAGCTTCCTGAGTGCTGAGATTACAGATGTGTACTACCATGGCCACCAAATCTCTCACATTTTTCATGTGTTACCAATTATGATTCTCCTCCTCCCACCCCTCAGTCATTTAAAAATGTAAAAATCATCCTCGGGAACCAGGGCCCAGGGCAGTCGCAGGCTGGACTTGGCCTGTGGTCTGCAGGGTACCAACCCGGATCCAGAGTCTAGTGCTTCCCAGGCATGTGGTCAAATAGCTGTGGAGCTGCTGGGCGAGACAGAGCTGGTCCCCACTGCCTTCAGTCTTTCCTGCCCTGTAGGGCATGTGTGTTGGTGGGGTGCACATGCCAGCCACAGTAGGCTTCTCTAGTGGACCTAGAAGACACTCATGGCTCCTGACTGGCAGGGCAAGCAGCCTTCCAAGCCGAGCTCTGTGGAACCGATCTGGGGACAGCTGGGCTTCAGATTTTTCTGTTGTTGTTGTTTAATTTTAAGTTTATAAATGTAGAAACTGCCTCTCAAGAAAGCTAGCAGACTTGGCCCCAGTCACCAAGGCAGTGTCAGGGTCTGACCTCAGAGGCAGGTCTTGCCTCACCCCAGGGACTTCTCCCTGCCTTGCCTGTGGTCTGGACTTGAGGGTGACTAGCACTAAAGTAATTCTTTGGGGAAGCATGACCAATTTCCCTTTCTCCACCTCTCTTTTCCTCTGCCCCTCCCCCAGTCTCCTATATACAAACCCTTCAGGTGCCCTGCCTGCCTGCACATCTTTATCTTGGTCACAACTTGCACAGTTGGGCCCATCCACGCAGGACCAGGTGAGGGGCTGTGCTGTTTTTCCCTTCCATAGGAAGACCCAGGCCCCTGAAGTCAGCCAGACAGTGAGTTTCACCTGCAGACCCTGAGGTGAGCGGACAAGGATTCCTGCATCCTTCAGACTGTGCCTTCTTTGGGGACTGGGTTCTAAGGGCAGGGGTGAAAGTCAACATTTTGCATGTTCATGTAAGGACAAGACAGCTTGTGAGAGGAGCTGTTTTCTCCAACCAATCCTCAAGAAGACTCTAGCTGGAAGGAGGAGGGCCAGGATTATGAGAACCAGAGATGAACTTTTAGAAGCAGCTACACTGGAAGCACAGGAAGGGACCGTGTTGATGGAGGTGTAAAGCACAGAGAACCACGATCCTGGCCTAGCACACCCCCTCTTTATGCTGGTGTTGGCCACCATTCCAAAGTCATTCTCCTGTGCTCTTTCTGTCCTGTATGGGGTGGGCGACAGCTGCTCCTGGTGTGAGAACTGAGCCTGGAGCAGGACAGTTCTTCAAAAGTTGTGGAGGGAAGTAAGGGAAGAGAGGGAAGGAGAGAGAAAAGGATGGAAGCAAACAGAAAGGAAGAAAAGCAAGGGCAAAGAAGGCCCTGGAAAGACACCCTCTGCATGCAGTCTTTTGTTTTGGTTTTTGTTGTTTTCAGACAGGGTCTCACTATGCAGTTCAAGCTGGCTTTGAGCTCACTTTGTAGCCCAGGCTTGTCTCAAACTTGGAATGACCCTCTTGCCTCAGTCTCCCAAGTGCTGGGATTACAGGTGTGCAGTTACGATAAATAACTGTGATAAATAACTGAGTTCCTCTGTTGGGAGGTTCCACAGTCATTCCCAATTAGCCCTTTGAGAAAGTTTTAAAGGTGATTCAGCCAGAGCTCTGACTCCTCCCTCTGCTTCCGTTACTCTAAAAATCAGTCTTAGAGCTGAGTGAGTCTGTCAGCTGAGGTGGCAGAGTGATTGTGTGACCTGGCCCTGCCTTCTGTGCCTGTCTTTGTGGCCAGGATGAACCTCCCAGCTCTCTTATGGTGAGGAATCAAGGCCAGTCAGCCCTGGAGAGGAGAAGCAGACCTGTCCAGATACCTGGCGATTTCTGGGCAGAGCTCAGATAAGCACACATGTAGGGATGCTGTCTGTCTCTCCTAAGGTTGGGCTTGCCTTTGTGTTCTTAGACACACGAGAACCCCACCATTTGTCCCTCTTCCTGGATGCATTCTGGCAGGCAGGTTGGAAATGAGAGAGAACTGTGATAGAGGAGAGAGGTTGAACGTGTGGAGCTGGCTGGGCACGGTGGGGAGGGCAAGACTGGTGTTTATAAAATAAAGGGTCATAAAGACCCTGACCTACTCCAGGGCACCCAGCGAGGCCACAGGATTGCAACAATTTAGCCTGGGGATCCCCACCTCCCCCACATATACATAGTAACGCATTTTTTTGCTCTAACAGAATATCTGACACTGCATAATGTATAAAGAAAAACTGTTCATTGGCTCACATTTCTGAAGGCTGGCAAGTTTAAGCTGGGGGGGGCACACCTGCTGATGTCCTTATTGTGGGGGACTGCAGAGTCCCAGGTGAAGAAGGGCAGGCCATGGTGACAAGGGTGCTTGTATGACAGAGCCAAGCTGACTTTCATGACAGATATGCTTTCAAAATAACCTCTTCATCCATCCATCCGTCAGTCCATGAGCTGATTAATCCGTTCCTAGGAATTCATGACTTAATCACTTCTTAAAAGTCCTGCCTATTCCCACCTTTCACTTTGGTGCAAAGGGGATCAGATGTCCATACGGGTGTAGCTGGGGTCAGTCACACCACAGCACTGCCCTCCATCAGTGAAGCAGAGATTCATTCTGGGGTTCACCAGTCCTGCTCAGCAGCCTCCTTTCTCTCAGCCCTTCCTTTGCTACAGATGGGCCCTTGGCTGCAGATGGTCGCCTCCCCCTACCTCATTGTGACCCTGCTGCTCTGGAGTAGCCTGCCTGGGCTCTGGGGCCAGGAGTTCCAGTTTGGGCCATGCCGAGTAGAGGGAGTCGCTCTTCCAAGACTGTTGGAGGCCTTCCGGACTGTGAAGGAGACTATGGTGAGTGGACTGTGACATAAACCCCCTAGAGAGTAGGGGAGGACTGGATTTTGTGATTAGGAAGCCTTTTAACTTGCTGATCACTTTTCTATAGAAGAACTCTGGGAGGGCAGGAGCCATCACTTCCTTACACATGGGGCTTCGGAGGCTCAGAAAGATGTTGTCAGTTCCTAGTGAAAAATAGAGCCCAAGGGAATGAGGCTTGATCCATCCAAGACTAGGAGGTATGGCTGAGCTCCGAGGCACAGCCTTCCACCACCAGCCCTTCTTCCTCAGCAGAAGCAATGCTGAGTGGCAAACCTGGCCCTCTCTGCCTCAAGTGACCAAAGGAACCAAACAGGTCCCTCACCACTCCTGTGTTCTAAGAACTTTGTCTGGGATTCCTGTATCACTGGGGACAAGTGTCATGGTTTTCTGTACATGGAACCTGTACTCCCTCGGGGCCGGCTCCCCAAAGGCCCTCCTGGGTCCTCCTCTGGTCTCCTTGGCCTGTGAGGTCTCACACTCTGGATAGATTAGGAGACTGGGGAAGCAGCCCCTATTTGCAGGACTGGCTTCTGTGTGGACCCCTTACCTGAAGATATTTTTTCTCTCTGTTCCCAAAGCAAATTCAGGATAACATCACGAGTGTCCGGCTGCTGCAGCGAGAGGTCCTCCAGGATGTCTCGGTAATGAGATGGTGGGAGGAGCAGCTCCTCCTGCCATGGGGTGATGGAAGCTGTCCCTTTTGCCCTGGGCTGAGCCTACACAGGGAGGGCTAGCTGTGAGCTGGGACAATCTGTATCTGGGCTTTTGGGGAGAAATGAGGATCAGGGCTTGTAAACATCTTTTTCTACCGAGCCAGAGCTTTACCATCAAGCTTTATTGTTCTTTGCTTATGTAATGGACATCTACTCAAGTGGCTCCTGTCCTCTACTTCAATCCTTGTCTCTCCTCCATGACTGTCTTCTCATTTCCCATTGAGTCAGTCAGTGAACACAAATGCACTGAGCTCAGATCCCCGAGAGGTACCTAGCTTCAGGAACCAACGGCATAGAGTATGATTGCTGGGTTCAGAGGACATTGATTTTCTCTTTTCTTCTCTTTCCTGTCATTTTCCTGCCCACTCTCAATCACACAGTCCAGGTTTAGAGTTTTCGGCGTCCATCACCTCCTTGTACTGGAGAAGCTGTGTGGTGTAGAGGAATGGGGGGCCAGGCATCCTGGGAGCTCAGCTGTGCCTGCCGAGGGTGGCTGTCTGACCCTGGGCAGGTCACCTCTCCTTGTGTAACTGCGGCTGCTCTGTGAGGCTCCTTCTGTCTCATGCTCATCTTCATCTCCTGGAAGCCTGGCTCTGCTGAACTCTTCCTGCTTAGAGGAGCTTGAGGGCTGTCCCTCTGCAGCTAGGCGAGCAGGGGCCTCAGCTCTGCAGTGATCCAGCCCTTTCCCCAGGACGCCGAGAGCTGTTACCTCGTCCACGATCTGCTGAAGTTCTACTTGAGCACTGTTTTCAAAAACTACAGTCACAAAATAGCTGAATTCAAGATGCTGCCCTCCTTCTCTACCCTGGCCAACAACTTTCTGTTCATCGTGTCAAAACTTCAACTCAGCATGAGCAGACTGAAGCCAGGCCCAGGAGCTGGGGAAACGGTGTGTTTTGGGACTGTTCCCCTCCCCTTGTGCTGTCTTGGCTTTTATTCCACAACAGGGGATTGTGGATATCGTGGATGTGTGTTCTGGGTTCAGGTCTAAGTTTGCTTCTGATCAGCTGGGTGACATTTTCAAGGTGCTCAACCTCTCTGAACTTCAGTTTTATCATCTGTAGAATGGAAGGGATACTCTCAGGACACCGGAGTCATCTCTGCTCTCTTGGACTTGGGAGCTCCAGAGGCATCACTAGGCACGTGAGGGAGCTTGCCTCTAACCTTACCTGACTCTGTTTCTTTCCTCTTATTGGGCAGAAAAATGAGACGCTCTCTGTGAGTGACAGTGCACACAGGCGCTTCCTGCTGTTCAAGAGCACATTCAAACAGGTAAGGCTGGGCCCTGGGTGCTCCCCCACCCAGGGGATAGACCAGCTTGGGGGTGTCACAGACCCCTCGCGCAGTAAATGGAGGCAATTACACCAGATTTACCCCAAAGTCACCTGACTTAGCAGGAGCACAAATACATTTGCATCAACTCAAGCTTTTTATAGTGTCATGGTCTTTTTTTTTGCTAGTTTCCAAGTGAAAATGCTATTGTATCACCATGGGAAATTTTGTCAACTTTTCGTAAAATAAACCACTCAAGAAATTCCAAATTTCATTCCCAGCACCCACCCACCTTCATATTACACACACACACACACACACAAACACACACACACATACACACACGTGCGCGCGCACTTTTGATGACTTTTTGAAGGAAAAGATACATGAGCCTATAAACATACGGTGCTAAGCAAAACCATGACAGACAGTGGCCACCTGGGCGATGGTGGACGCAGGTGTGGGGCCCTGTGCTTGTGAGGGGCGCTTTGTGCATTTCCTTTGGCCTTTTCCTGCTGCTGCTCAATGGTGTCTCTATCGTCCCTGAAGCAGACACACACAGATGGGGACAAGTGACAGGCAGGTGAGCCCCGAGAGGCCACTCCACAGATGGCCCAGCCCGTGATGAGGGGGTCAAATCTGTCAGGACCTAGAAAGAAAACCAGTCTCTTTCCTAACTGATTTCTACCTCTCCTTTCCCTGTAGCTGGAGATGGAAACGGCTCTGAGCAAAGCCTTTGGGGAAGTGGACATTCTCCTGACCTGGATGGGGAAATTCTACAGACTCTGAATGCCCACACCACGCTCGAGACCGTATCATGTCCAATGTGTGTGTCTTCCCAGTTGTGCTCTGGGCACTCCACGACCTCATTGGCCACGCCCAAATGGCAGTCAGGAAGGCTTCTCGAACTCTGTGAACAATCTACAAAGTGAATCCCCATATTTATTATGACCCTATTTAATTAATGTCATTATTTTAACTGAAGTTTTATTTATTTGTGAGGCCAGAAGTGCTGTAAAGGCAGCAGAACAGTGTCTCAAGCTTCTCTTTTGTTACCAACAATCCCAGCTGTAGCATGGGGAAGTGGGTGGGTGCTCAGTAAATATTTAATACACTGGAACTTTTGGTCTTTCTTTGGATTGGGAAGGAACAATGAGGAACACCTGGATATGACATTCAACTTCAGTGCATGGAAATCACTTGTTTGCAGGAACAGAGCCCTGGGGTAGAATGAGGGGAGCAGTTTGAAAATACATGATAAATGATAGAGTGTGAACTACCCAGGGAAAGGCAGATTCTCACAGGTCATTTTGTTTGTGGTTCACACTCTCCAGCCATTTGCCTTTCCTTCTTGGATACGCTACTTTGCTGCCTGGAGTAGCAGCAGGGTCAAGGTGGCACGTGGAAGTCACTGTACTTAGGGGAAGTCACTGTCCCCTCTGGGATGATAGCTCTTGCTAATAAAAGGAAATCAATTCAGTCCTGGCAGCATTTCCTTTCTGCTTCTGGGCCAGTGCCTAGAAGGCTACACCATGCATCTGGGAAAGGTCTTTCCAATGGCAACAGTAAGCATCTGTAGTCTCAACCTCTGGCCGTAGTTGATATCAACCCAAGGTCATCTATGACCTTGCTCCCAAAGCTAAGAAGAAAAAGTCTATGGAAGAGGTGAGATGCCTTTTCTTCCATGACAGATTGCTACTGCCAAGTTCCTGACCCCCGGAACCCTGGGCTGCCTTCCCTCCCCACCTTTCTATATGCCATCTGGCCAAGAGACGAGCTGCATTTCTGAAAGCAGAGAGACGTAATGGTTTGTGAGAGCTAAAATAGACCGAAGTTAAGACAAATGCACAAATATCAGTGCTAGGATGTGGAAGAAGGATAAGGAGATGACAAAGACTGCTGAGGTCAGGGTATGCAGCTGCGGCAACAGAGAGACAGCCAAAAGGAGGCTTCATGCATGTAAATATAGGTTTATATTTGTATGTGTATCACTAACACTAACAAGCTTGGTTCTGGAAATGTAGAATATGGCATGACATCAAAATAAATTGCCCTTACCACACAGGACTCGAGACAGATAAACAGAAGCCTTCTAGTAAGTGCTGGCCCTCAGATCAGGGCAAAGCTGCTCCCAAGGGTGTTTTTATATACCCTTTCCAGCATGTGGGGCTGAGGCAGGTCCTCACTGTGTACCCCTAAGGTCTTCTGTTTGTGTGAGACCCAAACCTGGAAAGGCCACTGATCCCCACACCCCAGTCTGCTGCTGTAGTATCCAAAGCCAAGGAAACAAAGACCCCATGGCCCAAGACACTGAGGAGATGCCCTGAAGATCTCCCAGCCTGTTAAACAGCCTGGAGAAGAAGCAGGTGGCATCGAAATGAATACTCTGCCTGCCTGGAGCCTACGTGATGAGCACAGGGCTGCAGATGTGTACACGATCAGTTGGGGGCAGAGCTATGTTCCGAGCACAGGTAGCAGTGCATGAGCATTGAGACAGGGCGTGACAAAGTCTCTGCTAAGAGATGGAGCAGGCACTGGAGCTCAGTAGACAGACAGGACTCATTGGCACCATGGTCTGGGTCCTGGATAGGTGGGGAGGGAGGTAAGATTGGGGATATTGATGTAGTCATCTTCATCTGAATCAGGGTCCTCCCTCTGGCCAACAGGCTGATGGCAGATGGTCACATATTCACAGCTGGTCTTACGTGATGGAGCATGCAGCCAGGGAGTTTCAGGCACCTGGGAACACCAAACAAGCATCACCAGATCTGGGTGTGAGTTTAGCATCCCTCTAGGTGTCCAGAGCAGGACACAGGGTCAGAAGTTTGGTCTCTGAGCTCCAGAAGGCCAAGGCAAGTCCCATTAAATGGGCCAACCTGGGGATTGTCAAAGAGTGGTGACTCACTGCAGGTAACTGGAAAATACTTGATGAAGTCTGGGCAGGAAATGCCTCCAATGGGGCTCAGACTGACACTGTGTGGCCAAGAGTGCAGGTGTGGAGACCCAGCCACACAGGAATGTCCCCCCAGGGGAAGACCCGTGACTTGCAGGATAAATATGCATCTTCCGGGGTGGCGGGGGGGGGGTGCTTTTCAGAGGTAAGCTGAGTCACCCCTTGGACCTCTGTCAGGGCTTGGAGTGGCTGTGACATGGCATGACAATGCATTCCAGAAAGGGGCTGGACAGTGAGAAGGTAGGCTGTTGGCCATGTAGGCACTGAAGCACTCTTCTTTCCTAGACAAGGCATTTCAGGGTCAGCCACCTTTAGGATGGACAGTTTTCAGGGAACAGGGCTGTGCGAAGAACCTGCATGGCATAGTCACTGTAATATCCGGGGAAAGCCAGAGTAGGGACTCTAATTAGATATTTATTTATATGTGAATTTTGAGACAGGGTCTCACTATGTAGCTTGGGCTGGTCTTGAACTCACTACCCTCTTGCCTCAGCCTTCTAAATGCTAGGACTGCAAATGTGTGACAATACACTACATATCCATCCTATTTTTTATTTTTCAGTTCAAGACAGGGTCTTGCTAAGTTGCTAAGTTGTCCAGGTTGGGCTCAAACTTGTGACTCTCTTTTTCAGCTCCCAGAGTGCTGAGATTTCAGGTGTGGGCCACCAACTCTGACTTCTGATCAGGTTTTAAACATTTAAGAACTAGAAGTGCTGTGCCCTAACACAGGAGGCTCTCTGTAAGTGTTCACTGGAAGCAATTTCTTGTTTTGAACTTTACAAAAGGGGGAAGTACCAGCAGCCTGCTTCCAAGATATACCTCCCATTGCCTGTTACAGTGTAGTTCATCGCTTAAGATTAATGTACTTGGCTTAAAAAACGAAAACACTTTTATAATGCTTGATGCATTGTGTGAACTTGAGAAGTTTAAGCAACTCAGCAGTGAGCCAAGGTTCTTACTTTGTAAGCATCCTCACTGTGCAAGAGGAAGGCATGGAGATGGTGAGTGCTACAACTGCCCAGAGAGGGGCAGGTAGCCTGCATAGAATATAGGGGAGGAAAAGAGTCTTGTTCCCCACTTTTTGCTTTTGTTTTTGTTTTTGCTGTCTTCTGCTGCCTTGGACTGTTGCCCCTCTGCCACACCATTTTGCTTTGGAGCCAGTTGATTATGGACTGAAACTTCCACTATGAACTAAATAAACCTTTCTTTCCCTAATTTTGGTTATCAGGTATTTTGTTCCAGCGTCGAGAGGAAAGTAACCAAGACAGCTCCCTTTGAAGGTTAATCAGTCCCTAAGCGCACACACACCTGGCTTGAACTTTGCTCCAAGATTTCTGCCTCAGTAGAGGAAATGAGTCTCAAGTGGAGAGGCAGGGAAACTGAGCAAGGGCAGCTCTGCGTGGTCACAGGGGTGCTCAGGAGAAAAAGGCTGGCGGCTAGGCAGAGTCCAGGCCCGCGGGGGAGGGGGGGAGTGGTCTGGCAAAGTAGTCTCACTGTCTCTTCAGAAAGGCACAGGGTCCCCAGCTTTCTGGAGGGCAGGTGTTGTCATCTGAATAAGCTATGGCCAATGGGACACGAATGAATGGTAGGCCTGCAACTTCTCTTTAAGCAGCACCTTTCTCTTTTTTCCCTCCCAAAGGCGGGAATGTGGGCGTGGGGCTGGCCACTGAGTGGAGTGAGAAGTCCCTGATGGCCTTGTGGTGCAGGTGTCTCTTCCTGCCTCTCTGACTCTAGAGGAAGGTTGGCTTGCAATGCTGCGGTTTAGGGCATTAGCTTAATCTACACTCTAATTACAACACAGAGGGTCACCACTGAGCTTTCATCCCCCACCCCACCCCCGAAACTAGCGGTTTGGCCACTGTGGGCCACTGGGAGGGGGGGGGGGCAACGTATTTTCTCTTCTTCTTTTTGAATCCAGAGGCGCTGGCTGGTTTCCAGGCTTTTCACCTCCACGCCTGCCTTCCCTGTGCCCCCCTCAGCCCCTCCCGCCTCGGATCCAGCCCGCCTCCGCTGGTCCGCCTCTGTCGGGGGCGCTCTCTGTGTCCGCTGAGGCTTACACATTCCTTTACCTGGAAGCGTTGGCTAGAAAGTCCTCCCTCGGACTAGGGTGACCTGGCAACGTCCAGCCTCTCAGGACCTCCCTGAAAGCGACCCTGGTCCCCGGGAAAGCCCTCGGAGCGCACGCAGGGTCATCATCCGTCACTCCTTCCACGCGCCCCCTTCCAGCACCCCTTTACCTCCATCTACCTCCCCCACCCCTCGAAACACCAGGTAGCCAGGGTATCCTAATTCCTGGGGAAAGAGGGCAAGGAGGCATCTTTCCCCCTGCTCAGGCTCGCGAGCTAGGGGAAAGCAGGGTGTCCACGCTCGGCCCCAAACTTCGCGCTCCGGGCGCGCTCCCGGGGCGGGGGGCGGCGCCTACCAGGGGCTGGCGGGGCTTACCTGGAGCGGGGCGAGGGGCGCCGAGGGAGCAGGGGCCTCGCGCGCAGGGGCCTCTCCGGGGCCTGCGAGGGTCAGAGGGCGGGATGAGGGCGGGGCCGAGGCTCGTGTCCCGCCCCCGGCCCCCCGGAAGCTTTGGAAGGAGAGCGTGTGCAGAGCGCCCGGCGGCTCCCGGGCGCACGCCGGGCGCGCCCTCGCCGGTCTCGCACCCCGAATCCCTCCCCTTCGGCTCCGCGCACGCCGGCAGCGCTCACCTGCGGCAGCCTCCGGAGCGCGGCGCGGGCAGGCGCTGTAGACGTTGTTCTGGGAGCGCGGCCGCGACCCCACGCGGGGCTGGCGCGACCCGGGCCGCCCTGAAGCCTCCAGGCCGCGCATCCTCACCGCCAGGCGGCGGATCCGCCGGGAGAAGGCTGCGCGGCAGCCGCAGGAAGAGGAGAAACAAATGGCATCAGGGCCCGGTGGCCACCCCGCTATCCCCGCGCAAGCTGTGGGCTGACCTTCCCTGAAGCTCGTGGTGACCGCCCTCGATGCCGCAAGTGTGCAGAGTGAGCCGGGAGGCGCAGCTTTGCGCCTCACGGAAAGCTAAAGCGCCCACGCCGACCCGCTCCTCGTCCCCGTGTCCAGGCCATCCACCCACACCCCCTCGCATGCAAGTCTGCTCTTCGAAACCTGTCTGGGGTCCCTCGAAGTCCAAACGGGGCCGGGGCTCTATCTAGGGCTCAGGCTGCTCACCCCGCCTTCTCTGAACGGCTCTTCTTAGCACGAGCCCGAGAAGGGCCAGCAGCAGGAAGCCCAGGACGCTGGGGATCAGGATGTGAAATCCTTGGTCTTCCCTCCCAGCCTGGGAGCCAGGGGTGAATGCTCTGGAGAGGGGAGGAAAAGGAGAGATGGAGGAAATGGTTAGGAAGGAATTTAGCTTTCAAGAGGCACTCTTGTGTGACCGGTTTTGGGGAGGTGATTCTCAGATTTGTTTCCTTGTTAGACTTTTCCCTAAGGAGTCTTGAGGCTTGGGTCTGAGTTCAGGTTCTGCCCTTTCCTGTCTGAATGAGCTCTAGCAACTCAATTTCTCTAAGTTTCATTTCCCCATAAATGGGTACAGTAAAACCCATCTCAGAGAACTGTTAGGAAGGTTAAATTAGTGGATTTGGAGTATTGAATGTTTCCGGCTCACTAGTAAGGTTCAAACGGCCTCCCAAATTCTGCACCTTGTTCTACTCATGTTATTGCAAACAGTAAATGAGCTAGTTTCTTACAATTGTGGAAAGCAGTGCCCCCGCCCCCGTACTCTCAAATGCAGAGAAACTCCTTCCATTTCTTCTACATACTGAAGTCTTACTTTTCTGAGGGAGATGGTGCCTAAGCCCTGTTTTCTCCAATCACAATAAGCCAGAATCAATTTTTTTTCAATTGTGTTTCCAGTTCTTCTGTTCTTGTCCATTACAATCTGGTCACAGATTTGTATTAGTAAGTCCCGGATATTGCATATTTCAATCATTGTAACAACTTACGGACATAGTACAGTGGCTGGCACATAGCTGAGCTAAGAAAATGTTGGTTAAATTTACTTTTCTTTTTCTGTGGTACGCCGATGTGATTTACCAAACTAGAAATCAGAGTCCCCATTCTTCCAAAAACCACTCAGCTCTCGGATTTCCCATTTTTAGAACTCAAATGCTGTTGGAGATCTCTTTCTTGATTGATCTACTGTATTTGTGTGAGAATTCTGATTACTGGTTTTTGTTGGCATCTGCTGTAATGCTGCCACCTAGTGGTCCATTGCTGTACTTCCCTAGACCGGGTTCCCTTCTAGCCAAGTGCTGTCCAATAGCAATGCTACTGTATAAGTCACCTGGGTAGTTTTGAACTACATAGTGTCCTTTTAAAAAGTAAAAAGAAACAGGTGAGAGTAATTTTGAAAGTTAGTTTTATTCTTATTTAGTTCTTCCCTATCAAAACAGGTTGAATCTTAGCGAAAGATCTGAATTTCACTTCTTTCTGCCAGGTTAATGCTGAAACAGGAATGGACTAGCAATGAACTAAGTGGTCTGCTCAGTGCACATCACATCTGCCTTCTGGAGATGACGCTAGGAAAGGCCCCCAGTAGTGGGCACTGCTGGGAGGTTTCAGTGGGTAAGTTAGTTCTAGCCTACCTTGCTGGACTCTAGCTTGTCACGGAGGGTAGAGGCTCTAACCTTTGCCTGTACAGCCAGGTGCGGCGCTTGTAACTGGCTTCCTGGGGGCTGAGGACTTGCTCCTTAACCAAGGTCTCTGAGGCTGTGGTGGATGGCGCAAAAGTAGGTGGCTTGGCAGTTGCTGCCACATATGCTGTGGAGATCCGAGGTTGGTGCGTTGTTGGAGTGGTGGTGGACGAGTGGTGAACCAGAGGGGCCTCAGTCCTTTGAATTGGTGTAGTAACTGCAAAAAATGTCGAGAAAAAGTAACATTCCTTATACAGTTCTCCTGCAGGGCTGGGCTGCCATCTTTTTTCTTCAATAACCTCTTCCATTTTGATCAGGAGATATAATATATATATATATATATATATATATATATATATATATATACACACACACACACACACACATATATAATTTTAGTACCAGGGGCCTAAAATGCCTCCATAGTGTGACACTGGTACTTAATCGGACTCATGTGTATTTGTTTCAAATGCTATTTCCTCCACGAATCTGTCTCTGACTTCTAGGCAAATGAGCTTACTCTTTTCTGAGCGAGATGGAGACATTTACCATTCTGTCTTGTGTAGTATTTGTGAACTTATTTGTTTTCCCCACTTCATTCCTGTCAATCACAACCATGGTTCTGTGACTTTGCTACACCTCTATGCTCAGCGGCACCCATAGTGTGGCTACTGTAATAATTTGCATTTAAAGTACCGACCTCATAGAGTATATGTGAGGATAGGACAGAAATATTGCAGTCAAAATGCACCAAAACTGGAAAGTAATACTGAAATATAAAATTGTTGTTAGTCCGGCAATGATTCATCTTTTATTGCACAATAGAGTTGTTAAAATGACTAGGCACCAGCAGGTAGAGGGCAATCCTGTGTGTAGCAGGAAGAATGATGACCTTTAGCTGGAAAAGGCCTGCCCAGACTTGGATTCTGCAGTCATTCATAAAAAGAGCTAGATTTTGTGAATGGAGTCTAAACTTCATTTCTTGTGGTGCCTCCTGGTGGTGAAGCATAAGTTCTACCACTGGGGTGGGCTGTCCTGGCTGTAGCATACGGAAGGAGATCCCCTCTCTTCAGATATGGAAACGCACATCTGAAACTCATTCTGCCCTGCCAGTCACTCTGTGAGCTGAGCACCCCACCCCACATTGTCATAACAACACAACATCTCTCCCACCTCTCCTCGCCTTTGGTGCACTGACCTTTGGGGATGAATTCAGAAGCCCTGGCATGCACAGCCATCTGAAGCCAGGAGGGCACATGCTGCTGCACAAACTTATGAAACCATTTCTGAGCCTCAGGCATTGGCTCCTCTTCATCCCAGAATGGCTCATACTCTACTGAAAACAAGAGAAATGCACTGGAGGTTGCTGGGGGGAGACTGAGATCTGGGAGAGGCTGTTGGTGTGAAAAGAAGGTGACCTCACTAAGGATGGTGACGAGGGGATGAGGAGAAGATACACCGAGAGGAGCAGAGCAGGAATGGGGCTTGGGGCTCCCCGAAGGAATTACTCTTTCCCCCTGGCCCAGCCAGTATTCCCTGCGAGGCCGTCGCAGACTACTGCATTGTAGGCTTTTGGCTCAGTACCACACGTGAACAGGAAGTCACCAGAGAAAAGGAGAAAGCGGGAGTCTGGAGATATAAAGGACCAGGCCACCCACTAACAAATCTGGGCTGCAAATACAACTTGATTATTCAGTGTCTTTTGCTCATATTCACCTCTGGAGTTTCTTGTGAGACAGTTACACAGGACAATTCTGTCCTTTGCTTCCCTGCAGTCTCAGAGCCTCTCCACCAGCTCATGCCACCCCCTCTCCTCATCCCTTGGGTAGGGTAGGCAATGCCAGGACAGCACACATCTTATTCCTTTCATCTGCTATGTGTGAAAGTTCCATAGGCCAGGAGGTTAACTGACTACGCAGTTCTCCATGTAGGTGCCCATCATTACTGGACCAGCTAATATGGCAACAGCATCAGAGTCTCTTATGGTTAGATGGTTGTCTTAGCTGTGAGTGGAAATGTTTCCTGGGTAGGCTAAGCAGCTGGGTGACCTACCATTGTGGACATTCAAGGTGACTTTCTGGGTCTTGCCTCGGTCTGTGTTCCTGCCCAATCCGCAGGCATAGACCCCGCTGTCACTCTCAGTCAACTCTGATATCTCCACTAGAAAGTGATTCTTGTCCGAACACGGCTTCAGAGTGATCCGGTGCTTATATTCACTCTTGACAAAGTTGTTGGATACCACCGTAGAACATATCTGAGTTTCAGGCATCTGCCGGCACAAGTACATCCGCACTTGTGTTTCTCCAGCAAGTGGACACTTGACGATAACAGATCCACCCAGGGCTCCATCCAGGTTTACTTCCGGGAGGATCTTCAGAGCTCCAGAGACTGCAGAGAGAGGGGGTGGATGCAGAGGAAGCTCCATCCTCACCATCAGCTCAGCCTCTGTCAACCCACAGTCTCACCTAAGAGTGGTTCCTGCTCACATCCTCAGCTTTTCCCTGTGCCCAGCTCTATGCACAATCTCAGACTAGTTCTATCCCCAACCCCAGTGCTACGCCTCAGCCTTAACTTAGCCCCGGCCTCCAGCTTCATCACCAAACCCAAACCATTAAGGACCAAACACCACCGCCATGGGAAAATTGTCAGAAGTAATGCACCTCCGTGACCCTGAGAGCACACACCTCCCAAGGGCTTCTTTTGCACGGGGTCAAGAGGCATGGCATGGCTGTGCTGCAGCCCACCTTCCTTCCCCATTTTGTTTTGCTCAGGTCCATCCAGCTGACCATTCATCCCAACAGTTCTCTAAGCTAAATCTCTCAGCAAGTGCCTTTCCTGAGTACTTTCTTCTAATCCTTCCTTCAAAAGAAGGATCATGTAGTGAATGATACCAACAGACAGCCAACAAGGCATGGCAGTGTAATAAATCCCCTGACAGAGCACAGGGTCCCTTGGAGAAAGCAAGAAGTGACTCTGGTCCTGCTGTGGTGGGGTGGGGATCATCAGAGGGAGCGATGTCTGAGCTGGGACCTGAAGGAAAGGCATGGGAGACTGAGGATGATGATGCTTGTCAGGCAGCTACTGGTGAACTTATAGGAGAGAAAGCAAGCATGTGTGTGAGTGTGAGCACATGTGTGGGGGGCTGTGAATGCTTTGTGTGTGTGATGGGGAGGGATAAAAGGTGTGGGTGGCAAGCCCTTGACATCAAAAAACTTACGTTTTGGGTTAGAGGAGGCAGGTTGAATGCAGTTCAGCCAGCTGCAGGAAACAGTAGGGATGTGTGTGATTAAATGTCAGCTGAGTGGGTTCCAATAAGTGGCTGCCTATTTCTAGGAAGGGAATTGTAGCATAAAGTGTGTGTGTGTGTGTGTGTGTGTGTGTGTGTGTGTGTGTGTGCATGTTAGGGTGAAGCTAGAGAGCAGGGGTAGAGGAGAAAGAAGCCTTCCAGATAGCGAGAACAGTCTTTGTGAAGGCAAGGAAACAAGAGAGAACAAGCTGTCCATGGGCAGAGCAGAGGCTGCAGACTTCCTGAGAGGTGTCTATAGATCATGCATTTAGTCCCTAAAAGTTCAGTCAAATCAGAGTCAAGAGCGACACTGGCAGAATAGAGGGGCTTGGATCAGGGCATTCAGGGAGATGGCAGAGTGTGTACAGGAGTAAAGAAGTGGAAATAATCATAGGGGTAAGGATGAGTTAGGGGAGGATGAAAGGGAGCGAGGAAGGAGCCTCCCCCGGAGCGTGCTGGGATCTGGAAGTTCAGCTGGCGTTACGGTGGTCTGGGGGCTCTGCTGAGAAGCTCCGGCTAGGAGACGCCCACATGCAAATCCAGCTCTACTTTAAATACGTTGGAAATAGTCACAAGGTGGCCTTGCCACTGGAAAGAGGCAACAGAAGTATGATCTGTCCACCGAGGCCCAAGCAAGGGACAAGGACCCAGCAGGGTCGGGGAGGTGACACTGTGAGCCAGGGCAGCCTGCACCTGAGGGAAAACCAGACACCAGGACAGAGGCACATGAGTGTTTCTGGGTAAAGCTGACCCACCAGAAGGTGCTGGGGGAATGGATCTGCTTTCCCAAGACTAGGGCAGAACAGAAATGGGAGTCACAGTCTGTACAGTCACTTGCAGTCCCCTGTTCTGTGGAGGGATGGACATCTAGTGAATTCCTGGCTTGCTCACCCAGATCGTTGTTGCCCACACACCAGACAGACAAAGCCCAAGCAAAGCCGGGTATGCTGAGCTTGGGTCGACCAGGAACTACTAGTGGGCACTATGAGAGTGACCAGGTCCCAGGAAAAAATAACTGGCTTGCTTTGAAGTTCATACCAGCTTCTGACCCTTACTGAAGACTTTGAAAAGCAGATTTCCAAATCTTCAGAGAAAAGGTAGTGATAATCTGGTTTGGAATTCTAAAATGGTGCTGTGTCTACACACTAAGATAAAGAGGGCCTGGCTCTGCCCTGAGCCATGGTCTAGCTGCTGTCCGAGCAAGGCCTGGGAATCTGCATTTGAAGTGAATGCCCCAGATGCCTTTGCATGTCTGCAATCCTGGGCTGTATAACTCCCTAGGGAAGACAGTAGAAAGTATCCTAAGGAGCCAACCTGTTTAATGTTAATATTTTAGAAAGACTGCTAAGCAAGTAGTATTGATCTCTAAAGTGGTGATTATTTTTAGTGGCAATAGTAAAGGAGGGGGTAGATACAGTCTCTTAATATATAATTGTATATACAAGTTGTGATTGAAAAACATGGTGAATATTTAAAAAAATTTAAAATGTGTTGCAGTAAAAGACACAGTAAACCCCCCTCAAAATACTTTTCATTTTGAACACATTCATTTTGAATGCACCCCACCTGTTGTTCTTGCCACCTTCTGAAGCAGACCTGGGCATCGTCTTTCAGTGATTCCACACAGGTTGCATCTAAGTCTTTAATTGGGCTGTCATGGCTGCCTCCACCACCTGAATCACTTTCAAAACCTCTATTTTTCATAGTCATTTTATCTTTGGGGAGAAGCCAGAAGTTGCACAGAGCCAGATCCGCTGAATAAAGCGGATGAGGACACAGTGTAATGTTTTTATTGGACAAAAATTGCTGTAAATATTTTGAATTGATTCAAGACATCAAGGCAGCCATGAAAAGACACTCGTGAAAGCAGATTTAGAAAGTGACAAGAAAGATTGGGTTAAGTGTATTTGAAATGCAGGGGAATGTTTTGAGGGAGATGAAATGTTTACATCTAAGCGTTCACTGTGATCTCCCCTTGAAACATGAGACTCACTCCGTCGTTTTCATAGTGCAGAATGAAGTCCAGGTCCACAATGCCTTGGTGCCTGGGGCTGCTCTGGAGATGGATCCTGCTGCTTCTGTGCAGCAGTGACTATCTGAGAGTGGGGCCCTGAATGGCCTACTCAGGAGCAGGATTTCAGGAGGAAGAGAGCTGGCCTGGCATTTTTGTGTTCATCAGAAGGGGCATAGGATTTTTCACTTCTTTTTAAAAGCATGAGAATCATCCCTCTCGGCTTCTCCCTTCTATCTACAGCACCTGGGCGTGCACAGGTCAGCTGCCTGCCCTCTGTCCTGCCTGTCCTCACAGGCAGGTCCTGCCTGGATCAGGAACCCACCCAGCCCCTGGCCTAGGACTTCTGTCTCCAGAATGGCTTTGTTCTGACTGCAACAGCAGTAGGGGGCTCCGCTAGCGCAGCACAGCCTAACAGGATGTCAGGCCCGGCCTCTGACCTTCGCCTCCCCAGCCCCAACCCCACCATGCCCTTCTCCAGTGCCTCATCAGAGTCATTTAGCCCTATTCACTTCCATACCTCCAAGTTCTCCAGTCTGCCCCTGCCTGGTTGTCGCCCCTGATATCCCACCAAAGCTGCTCTCGTCAATGTCACAGCGCTGTCCTTCACTGGTCATTTGTTTGCCTTCATCTCGTGCCTCTGCCCCTTCAGCAGCAATGACAGACCTGAGCCACACTGTGTAAAGCACTAAGCTCCTCGTGACCCTCCTGACACCAAACCCCGCCTTTCACCGCAACCACTCCCAGTCAGCAGCTTCACTCCCTTCTTTTCCGCCCCCCTCTCCATGCTGCTGTGGCACTCAGTCCTCTGACCCATGGCTCCCTGTTGCCTGCATTAGCTCATTCACTGCAGTGATTCCACACAGGTTGCATTAAATATTTATCTCCAGTCTTTACCTCTGAGCTGCGGACTTGCCTTTCTGACGTCTCTACTTAGGCTCCACCTAAATGTCTAAGGTGAAAGCAAACTCACGATATGTAAATAGTTGGTCTTCCCAGACCTATTCCATCCCATACTCTTTCCATCTCAGGAAATTGTGCTGTGCTTTCCAACTGGAAACTTATCCTCACAGGGCTGGGGATGTAGCTCGGCCATGCAGTGTCTGCCCACCAAACTTGAGGACCTGGATTTAATTCCCAGTACCAAAAAAGAAAAAAGGGGAAAAAATCCCCCACCCAAGCTCTTTTAAAATTTTTATGTTCACACAACAAAGTCAAGAATAAATTGTAGGTAGATGTGTTTATGTGTGTGTGTATTGAATCACAGCATCGGGGCTATGTGGTATTGTTAAGGTTACAGTAAGAACGCTTGAGAGACCACATCCTGTGATTCTGCCCTGCTTTAGGGTGGAACCCTGTTCTACAAACTACAGAGGGCTGTAGTCAGTGTGGGTTATAACGTGTGCTGCGTACACTGGCACTGAATATTGGCAGTGCCTAGGGTTACATACAAAAGCCCAACTACCATGTGTTTATAAAAACTATCAAATTATAAGTCAAACTAATCAACGCCTGGATAAATGTTTTATGTACTCCTATAGAGTCATTTATTTCTCAAATGTCCGTTTTGAACCATGGCTACCAAGGGGAAATTGTCCCCAAGCTTCCTGCCCCCAGCCTCTTGCTCTTCTCCCTTTCATCCTCTCCTCCTGCCTGGCCCGCAGTCCCTGTTGTATCCCTAGACAGCAGACACCCAGCCTGCAGGTATAGCCTCCCTGCGTCTGACCTGCTTCCCCAGGAGCCTCTTCCTCAGGGGCCAGGACAGAAGCTTGTGCAGGCACAGAGAGGAGGCCAAAGTCACCTGTGCAGGGAATTCCAGTTCTAGAAGAGGACATGGGTGTGGCCTGCCAAGCCATCCTGTTCCTCTTCCTGCAGGACCGGGAGTGGAGAAAGATGGGCCCAGGGCAGGGACCTCTCTGGCGCAGCCAGAGCAGTGGTGCTGGGCACAGCAGACCAAGGTAACACTTAGGTAACTTACCCCTCCCTGTAGGTCTTCTGCCACCCAAGCCCTCTCCTTTCTCTGATTTAAGATTAACTAACCATCTACTAGGCACAGGTATGTCTCACTGCCTCTTAGAGCTCCTGACATTGATTAAAAATCTACTTTTTTGGCATTTATGACTTTTCAACCTTCAACACAACAAGCATTTGACTTTTTTCCATATTCAAGACATCAGAAAAAAATCAGATATGACTAGGAAACCTTTTGACTCTAAGGATCATAGCATCTAATAAACCCAATAAGATAAACATACACTGGGCCACACTATCAATGGTGTTGATGACAAAAGTTCAGAAAAGACAGCCCAGAAAAATCTATGGGAAGGACACAGATTTCATGATGGACTTTGAAAAGCACCTAAAGGATGAAGGTAAACAGAAGGATATTTCCGGCAGAAAGAACAGCCTGGGCAAGGGCAAGATGGCAGGAACGTGCAGCGTATGTTCAAGGAGGAGTCCTATTTGCCAGGAGAAAGCACAGGACGTGTGGTCAGCTCAGGATACAAAGAGAAGTGTGGGAGCCATTGTGGTTTTGAAAAGGATGATCTTACTATGGTTACAGTCGAGCTGTTGGGAACATTATCTGGGATTCACGCAGGCTGAGTTGGATGAAGTGGGAGAGAGTTGAGAGATGGTTGTGTGTTCTTTTTCTTGCCTTTCCCTCCTTCTCCCCTCATAGAGAGAGGCCGCCATTGTTTCTCACTCTGGTAAATGTGGTCTAGCAGCTATGTGGGTTGGCCATTAGCTGGGCCAAAGTCTTGGTGGGCATGAAGAGAGGTGGGGTAAAGCCGAGCCGGTACTCCGTAGCAGATGTTGAAGACACTCATGACAACTGGCATAGCTGGTTTGGAGGTGACTGTGAGGAGTTTGCGATAAGGCATTAGGCGAACTGTACTTCAGATCTTGCTGTGGTACCGAAGTGGACACGTACAGGAGATAGTTGTGAGTTAGGCATGAGACTTAGGAAATAGATTAGGGGCATTGAATGGACTAGGAAATCTTCATTTGGAGTTGAAAGTTAGAAACTGAAGAGTGAAAAAGAGCTGAAGAAAGAAAAGGTAGAGGTAAAAAAAAAAAAAAAAAGAACAACTGCAAGACCCCGTATTAGTACATGAATATGCCTAGGAGAAGCGATGTGTTCAGTCTTTACCAGTAAACGCCAATCTGGGCAAAGGTGGGTAGCGTGGAAAGAGGATTGCTAGCAAGGAATGAGGGGTCCTCCAAAGCCTCACATGGCCTCCATGCTCAAAATGACCTAGGTATCAGCCTGCAATCAAATTTGCCCCGAAGCATCCCAGCCTGGCAACCGACTACCTCTGGCCAACTCAAGCCTCCTAAGAAGTGTGAGGTGCTTCTCCAGTGGCACTTACCTGGCAGGAAGTAAAGCCACCAAAACCAAAGGTCCATGTTTCTGTCCAGAGCAGGATCCTATCCAGAAGCCTCTGGCGGGGTCAGAGACCCAGCACTCACCCAGCAGCCTTTTGAAATCAGGACCTTGAAAGAGATTCTGGCCCCTTTGAGGGACAAAGGCTTCAAAATGAGGAAATGATAACTTGTCTTGTTTGCTAACTTGTCTTAGTCTAAAAAAGAAAACACCAGCAAACCACAGGGGAAGTCAGCTGAGAAAACACATTGTGTTGCACTAGAATGGATCACCAGGGCCCAAAGGGCCCCTAAGCAACCAGCACACCTGATATTTCCTTCCTTAGCACTTGTTCTTTGGGGGCTTCTGGTGATTCGTGCATAGTAGAGGAATTGCTCCAGACTGCAATTGCTTACTTTCTTCCTGTCTTCGGAGTAAAAGAACCTCCTCACCTATTTACAAGATGCAAGAAGATGCAGGTTGTGGTCTTTTATCAGTCACCATTAACCATCTTGCAAATACTTCTGAGTATCTTCTACATGGAATTGCCAGCCATGGATTGTGGGAATTCACTCCTTTCCTCTGGGTTTTGGCTTATGCTGGACCCTTGAGTTGTAACCAGCCTGATATATGAATAACTTGGGTTATGACTGGAATTTTAGTTTTATTATTATTATTATTGTTTGGTAGCAGGGATTGAACTTACAACCTAGTGCTTGGCAGGCAGGCACTTATTCCATTGAGCTAAACCCCTGGCCCCAGAATTTTATTTTTCACTTGTGACTAAAGTCTTGAGTTACGATCCAAATACTGGCCACTTGTGCTTCTAAATGTATCTGGCCTCAGATAGAGATCTGACCTTTAAAGAGTTCTAGAAAAAACATTTCCACATACTTTTTTGTATGGAGTTAGAGAAATCCTGGGCTAGTGTCTAAGGACTCTGAGATCTGCCTGTAGACCAGAGAGAGTCTTTGAAGGCTGTGTACAGGAGCCTGAGCCTTCAATAGACAACTTGAGTTACCACTGACCCTCAGAATGAAGTGAGTTTGTAAATCAAGGATCCACTCTATTTAGAAATTTAATGAAGGCAAAACAAGGTGACCTTTGGCCTTCCCTCCTGCAGAGCATCATTCCCAGGGTCTTTGTGACAGCTCATTCAGAGCCTTGACCATCTCTCATCCCTCAGCTCCTCTAGCTGCCTCAATCATGTGTTGCCCTCTGGCACTGTCCAGTGGCCACGGGGGCAGTGCAGGAGCAGAGTGGGACCAGTCATACAGCAACTCTGCTTGACCTCATAGTGGCCTGGCAGAGCCATCCTTCAGGACCTCAAGGGTCCAAGGGTGAGGCCCATTGATGGAGGAAGACAATGCCAAGACTGTGAGGCTTCGTGGCTAGACCTTGGATTCAGGTTTAAAGGCTCAAGTCCTTGCCTTGGCACTTTCTAGTTCGTGCAACTTGCTTAGGTCATGGTTTTACCATTGATAAAACAGAGACAGTTCCTGAGCTGGTTGTCTTACCCATCTTTTATGACACCTAGCAGAATCACAGTCATGGAGGTGCTTTACGAACCCCATAAACTGACATGTGGAGGGCTCTTCCTCAGCAAAGCACTCCCAAGGCTTCCTCCTTGACTGTTTCATTTTGGACATTGGTTCTCAGGGCCTCATCTGAGAGGTGATTCCGCCTCTTGTGCCCATGGAGGATGTGGGATGTTCCCACACCTTCGTGGGAGACGTGGTGGCTGCCAGAGCTTCTAGGCTCCTCAGTGGTTGTGGGCACCCCACCTTCCTCTCATCCCACACACCAGATTGGTCATGTGCTCTCCAAAACACAAAATGACTTCCGCAGTGGAGGTCAAGTGTGTGGCTCAGAGCAGGTGCAGAGGAAACATGTGTGGGGTGACTGCCTGCCCCACCCTCCTCATCTGAATCTCTGCCAACTTGTGCAAGCTGTCCATGTAATGTCCTCCTCCAGCAAATAAGCAGCTCAACCTCCAGTTAGAGTGAGTGTGGAGGGACTAAATCGTACCCACTGCCCTGGGAGGCCCTCAGATCCTATAGGTAAATGCACTTCTCCTCCACAAGTTCCTCTTAACCTAGGCTTTTCTGTCCTCCCCCACTGCAGCATTTTTCTAAAATGACAGGGGATGGCACCAAGCAAGCCTTGTAGGTAGTGTGGCGTGCAGTCTGGATGTAGAAAGAGTGAGTGGAGACTTGCCTTGTCACAGCAGTATACATGGTTGTCATGGGTACTGCTTGGTGATTGTCATGTGTCCTCCACTGGGCTCCCCCCAGCCAGGCTCTGAAAGGCCATCTCCTTGGCCTGTCCAAACGGATGGCTTCCCTCCCCATTTCTCAGTGCTCCTCTATGCAGTCACTGACTCTGACAATCCTCCTGCCTGGTGGAGTCTCCAGGGAGCCCCTCCAAGACAAGCAGAGGTACCTGGCCCAGGTACCCTGCAGTATCCCCTTCCAGCAACCGGGGCCCCAGGCTCACCTGTCCTGCGGAGAGTGACTTGCACAGTAAGCCAATTTACATCCTTCTTCAACAGTCATGTGGAATTTTCATGACTAAGGTTTATTTGTTGAATGTGGTTGTATTCCTTTTAGTGTTTTAAGGTTAAAATTCTAAATACCTGGCAGTTTTGGGTGAACTTTGTGATTTATCTGTGGATTCTTGAATTGCTACATCTCTGTCTTCAGGATGAAGATTTGGGGCTCTAGTGAGAGTGTATTCCAGCACTTGTTTCTTCCTTTGTGGTGCTAGGAATGGAACCCAGCATCCTGTGTGCGCTAAGCAGGTGCTCTATGCTGAGCTCCATTCCCAGCCCCTTTCCTTATCAGCCTCAGATGACAGAGCTGCTGTACAGCTCCTCGGCTTATAGGCTGGATGATTTCCCCATTCCTGCCTGAGTTTTCTGGCCACCTGGGACCACTGGTCTTAGTCTTGCATCTTTTCTGCCATGTGTGTGTCCACTGCTCACTTAGATGTGTAGTTATCTGAGATGGTTCCTATTACTTTTACTGTAGCCATTCCCCAGTAGAATTAATATTTCAGGGCCAATAGAGGATAGGATCTCTTCCTGTTTCTCTGGCTTGGGGACCAGCTCTACAGACCACATGGTGGGCATTTCCTCTCTCGGCCCTCTAATGTTCTTAGAATAGTTTCTCTGTTTTGAGGCATGGAAAATTCAGAGGAAATATTTTTAGCTTCACAAAACCAAAGTAATTGCTGTAACAAATTTCTTTTAGCAATGCAAAAGTCATAACATTACCTAAAAGACTTTTTAAACACCCAAAAAACGAAAAACAAGACACTCCAAGAACTTGGAAAGGATTTCCCTGTTGTCAGATACCCAAGTGGTCCCCAACAGCTATGCTCATTGGTGACTGAGCATTATCAGCAGCCACAAGTTGTTGCTGACCCATACAGGGATGAACGATGCCCTCTCAAAATCCATGCCCTTCTTTGTAATGCGTTTCCTCATGTGCTACACAGGAAACAGATACACTGTGGACAAGACATTGGTTGACTTTGTATTAGTTATTGACAAACCTCGTTAGAGATAAAGTAAGATCATCTGTGGGCCTTTGATTCCAGGGCTTGGGATAGGCTATACAGGCTGACCATTGACTTTCAGGTCATGAGGAAGACGCTAGGTGTTAGGGGAGTAAGATGTCAGTGGACAATTTGGATCTTCCTTATAAGACACCACATAGTCTCTATACCCCCCAAACGACTCTAAGTCAGCTATTGTCCACCATAAGTTATCATTTAACTAGTTTGTATGGTTTTGATCAGAAGCACCTCAAGTCTTGGAGGGCATTTGAGATTCCAAGTAAGTGTTCCATGGATGCTTTACCAAGGTTTTTCTTCCAGCACTTACGAGGTTCTACTTGCTTTATTCTACTATCATCTTAATTATGTTCTATAATACAGAACTTTAGGGTCTTAACTACCGGAGTAGACACAAAACAATTTTTTTGTTGAGGATGAGTTTGTATTTCCTTAGCCATTTTCCCAGGCCCCTTCTGCTCAGCATTGGAGGTGGGGAGCCTGTTGGCTTGGATGCGTGTTGTGGGAACCAAGGCAAAGTGCTCTGAAAGGGTTGTCTGGGAAAACACAGGTGTTGTGGACAAATGCAGTCTGAGCCTTGTTAGTGGCAATCACGGGCTTTAATTAAGTAACATTTCTGATTTGTCAGCAAGTACAAGCTTGTAGATGCTGGGTGAAGTACTGAGCCGAGAGGAAAAAGACCTGCACCTTCAGCTTTTGGGAGATCAGCTCTTCCCAGGCTTGGTTAAATGCCTCTTCCTCCTGTCCATCTGGAGGGAACTCTTCCAGTTGAATTTGACTGTTTCTTCATCACAGATCCATGTGAGTGACAGGAAGGGAAAAGTTGTCTTTTCCAGGTTAGGGCCTAGACAGAGTCTGTCTCTATGTACATTTTCCCCTTCCACCTTATTCTAAAATTGCCTCCAACAGGGGACTGGGATCTCATAGAAAGATCAGTAGTCAAGAAGATAGGAGATGTCAAATCCGGCTTGAGAGTGGTTTATGCCACTGGGTACCCAAGGGTCTCTTTCAGGGCCTCCCTGTTCTTATCTATGTGGTGCTGAGTGTGTATTTGTAAAGGCTGTGTGTATGCCTTAGGCCCTGGCACTTTATGATGTCACCCAGAAAGGGCAGATATGAGATGCTGGATGTTAGTGAGCTGACGGACACAGAGAGAAGCACAGGATTTGTCCAGGGATATTTATAGCGTTTTAGCCAGTAGCTGGGTTGCAGACACACCTTTCCCAGAGTCTAGCAGGGCACCTGAATTCTAGTAAGAGTCACATGTGTCCTTGGAATAAAGGAAAAAAAGGGGAGGAAGGAAGAGGGGCAGAGATGGAGTGGAGGGAAAAATCTCCTTGACTTCTCACCCTCAGGGTACAGAGAGGCTCCACATGGCTCTTTCCTGAGATGGGCCCCAAGCTGGCCCTTCTGCTTTCAGGTGCTCCCTCCAAGACTGGAATCCTTCCCCAACCCTTAAGTTTTCTCATCAGACAGAAGCTGCAGGTGGGAGCTCCTTGCACTCCTCACCCTAACAGCAGAAATTAGGACAGGCTTTAATGTCACCAAGGGGTGGTGAAGGCGGAGCATTGCACCTTCGGGACAGGGAGAAAAACTCATGTGGGTGTGAGTGCAGGCAGGGGAGGCCCTGAAGCTGGGGCCCCAAAGATCAATGTGATTCTGAAGGTGATTGTCATGGTGAGCGACAGCGGCTGGCACTGCTCATGCTTCACTGGGCTTGTCCTGGGCCTGTGTAGCAATGTTGCTGGACTGCAGCAGGAAGGCTGAGTAGGCCATGTCGGCTTCCTCCTTGGATGACTGAGGGGCAATAGCAGAGACATCAGTGAGCATGGCGGGGAGGGAGCGGACAGCTCGGTATCCTGGATTTGCCACCTTGACCTGAGCCAGCTGTGTGACCTCTGTCCTCACTTCAGCTCTCATGCTCACTGGGAGGACTTAATTATGAGAAATGGAAAGTTGCAGCCTCTAAAAATACCTCCTCTGTCTCACTACCTCCTTTTGACACATGGGGCAGAACCACCTCTGGGGTCCAGGGGCTGTCCCCGGAAGTAGGGCCACACAGTCTGCATGCAAGGGGCCCTAGTGTGGCATCAGCCAGACATTCGTGGTTTTCTTTCTCCACCTTCTTGGAGAGGTCACCTTCTAGCACCCCCAGGCTTGACTCCAGGAACAACTCCATCTCCTAACTGGGCCAAGTGAGGTCCCTATCACCATGAGGAAGGCAGATATGCCCCAAAGCCTTTGTGCCTCTGGGTTGGAGGCAATTGGTATCCGTCCAGGGGGCCTTCACAAAGTGCAGAGGAGGGCACCATGGAACCCAAAGGCAGGTGTTACCTTTCTGGACTTTGGCACTGCCACTTGGTTGGAGTGGGCAGGTGTTTCCAGTGATGGTCATGTTGCCCACTGTGAGCAGATTTCTGCTGGGTCCAGCAACCACTCAAAGGAGGATGGGTAACCAAGCACTGGAAAGTCCCTGGTCCCCAGTGCTGACATGTCATCTCCCTACCTGTGACCACATCTTTCTCAGCTCCTAGGTTCCCTCCCTCCTTGGCCTCATCCATCTCTACATTTCACAGCCAGGAGGACCTCTTGGATTCTGTTTCCACCGTCCTCCCTATTCTGGACTCAGCCCCCACACGGAGGTGGTTTTGTCCTGAAGTCTGGCTGAAGTCCCTCATGCTGCAATGCTGTCATACAGCCAGGCCTCTTCTCCCTCCTCCCCCTTACCCTTTTTGCCTTCTTGGGCTCTTCAGTGTCCCTGGTGCTCTCAATGTTGGCCATGGCCTCTGCATGGAGAGAGTGGTTAGTTCTCAGCACCCTGTTCTCACTTGGTACAAGGTCAGAACCAGTGCTCACTGCCTGGGGATTGGACATACCAACTTTCCCTTCAAGCACTGTCTCCTGAGTGTCTGGAGAGGCACCCACGTTGTCATTGCCACCAAAATCTCTGGAGTTCTCAAAGTCTGACATGCTTATGTCCGTCCGGTAGCTTCTAATGGATATGCGGTCTATTAGGCAGAAAGAAGAATTGGTGTGGGAAAAGGGCTGGTCAGCGGAGACCTGGGGATCCACGCTCTCCGAGAAGATCCCCTACAGCCTATGGGACAGCTGTGCTCTCATAACTGCCTGACTCTGACCCAAAGCAGAACGGAAGAGACCTCAGTCCCTTCTCATGGGTAATCAAGGCTTGATTCCTGGCCTTTGTCACTTGGTGACTCTGAAAGCATGGTGCCCAATTTAGCCTCAGATCAACTCTGTGAGGTGATTATTATCATCCTGCCTGGAACTACAAGAAAATGGAGGAATGAAATGGGGGCATGCCAAAGTCACGCACTGCATTAGTGATCGAGACGTTTAAAGCCCAAGCCTCCCTGGTCTCCTAACAGCCTTGCATCTGAACCTAAAACCCAACCAATGAGAGATGGCCTGCCAAGAACCGTATCTGGACAGCAGCTCTTAGTTAATTTGTGGCAATATGGGGTATATCTCCCAACCCCCATTCCCCAGCTTCTGCTTCCTCAGAATCCTCTGTGTGAGTCTATGGAAAGGGAGAGGGTGGTGGCCTCCTCTCTGGACATCTGTGCTGGGGTGAAGGATTTAGGGCTAGAGGTGGAGTGGGGAGCATTTGGGACTTACCCACGTTCTTTCGGTGCCGGACTCTGGCCACCCACACAGCCACAGTCCCCAATGCCAGCACCAGTCCCAGGGGTACCAGGGTGGAGAGCAGAACTTTGGAGCTCCCACCTTGCCCTGCAGAGCTGAAAGAAGGATTACATGGGTCCATCATAGTGAAGGGGACTTTGGGGCTCCAGGTTGCACAGGGAAATTGACTCTGATTAGTGGTCCTCCCTGGTTTATCATCCATCTTACCTTCATGACAGAGCTCCTAGCTCTGTCCTAAGAAGTCTGTCAGGCCCAGCAAGACAAGAACAGGGCTGTCTCTGTATCCCACCCTGGGAGATGGAGCTGAGGTGCAAACCCTGCTCCAGCCACGGGAGAAGGACTGAGAGTGTCAGGACCCCAGTGCACAAGCAGAGGTAGTGATGGCTCCATTTAAGATGCAGGCACACTGTGCCCTTTGGACCTAGTGAACTAGACTCGGCTCCTGGGCTTCTAAGGAGTTCTCCAAGTGAAAAGCCCTTACCTGCTGCCATCTATGGATGCTCTGTTCCCACCGGCTTGGTTTTCTGGGTCCTCCGCCACTTTTTCCTCTACTAAAAGCCTAGGGTTCAGGACAGCTTTGTTCTCAAACTCCTCACTATGGGACTGTACCACCTCCTCCTCAGGAGCACTGTTTACAGGTGGGTCGACGTTGACAGCACCAGACCCTGGGGCAGAGCACAGCAAGGGATGCATTAGGGTTTGATCTCCTGTTCTTACTTTTGGAAGTTAGAAGATCTGAGCAGTGAGACATCATTAGGCATCATAGGTCCACGTTATCTGTTAGGGTAGCTCTGTGATGACGCTGGAGACAGAGGAGCCACAGCTTTCTCTGGCTTGTCACAGATGACATCCACTGCAATGCTATTGAGTTTGTTTCCATGTTTGAGGCTGGATGCCACAGACCCAGTTCTGAATAGGGCTGGGCCCAAAACTAGGGGCAGAGGCTGAACCTCCACCCCATCCTGCTGTCTGCAGGCTTGAGCAGGATGCTGCTGCTGCCTGGTGGTAGGCTGGCAGCCAACCCTCAGTGAACCAGACCACACGGACCTGGACACCATCCAGACTTCTGAGGGGATTAAAAACACTTTTAGAGATTTCATGTGTTGTTTTAAAAAGTGGTCATAAACGCAGATGAAAGTTGTCTTAATTTTTTTCTTTTTGGTGCTGCTAGAGCTTCATACATGCATTAGCCCCAAGCTGCACCACCAGCTCCACGCCTTCATTTCTTTGGATCAGATGTCATGAATAAGGTATCTGGTCCTTGTCCGGTTTGGGGAGAAGGAAGGAGGGTAACTATGTTGCATAGAATAGTGGCTATAAAATTGCTGCACATAAAAGCAGAGTTCTAGGTATAAAAATGATTTCTATCTGGCTTGAAGAGGTGACAACGGGACTTACCTTAATGGCAAGGCTAATTCACAGGCCCACTGTTTTACTTTGTCAGCATGTGTGAGCAACACCGTCACTGCCCCCCTCCTATTTCTTACAGCCAAATCTAGGAGCCACCCCTGATTGAGAAATAGTTAAGCAAGGGCCTTGGAAAGGTGCTGTGGAGTTTGGAGACTCACCCCTGGCCTTCTCCACCACTGTCACATAGACAGCTGCAGTCTCTCCCAAGCTCTGGCCCTGCTTCACACCACACCAGTACCAGCCCTCGTCTTCCTTGGTGATGGACTGCAGGGTCACGGAGACGAGCCGGCTGTCCTGATCACAGCTCACAAAGGCCTGGCTGGGCCCTTCATCTTGGCTGGGCAGGGCCTGACAGCCCTGTTTGCTCCATTTGCACCAATATTTCTCATAGGAATAGAATTTGCACGGGTAGTGGCAGGCCAGCTTGACAGTGTCTCCCAACGCAGCAGTTGTGTTTTTTGATATCTTGAGGCTGGGTTCCCCTGCAGTTGGAAGGGAGGAAAAAACAGGTTAAAAGGTGGCCCTGGGAGATGCTGCAGGAAGTACCTGTGGTGGTAACCTCCGTGTGTATTTCCTCTTTGGATAGCATTGTAAATAACTGTGCTTTGCTGATGCATACAAAACACAGTAATGTGCCAATGTACATTAGTACATTACATAGTACATTATTATTGGTGTCAACCATGATCAACATCTCTCAGAGAACGTAGACCCCAGCTGGTTGACTACAGTGTGCTTCCCTTACTCTTCCTTTTTGTTTAGACCCAATGCCAGAGCCATCTCCAATACTCTGCCTCAGGTGATCCCTGCCCCTAGCAAGGGAGGCTGCTGTTCCCACTATTAGTATGTGCTACATGCGCAAGTGCATAGGGGGCTTGTCATAGGTGTGAAAATGTGACTGCTAGGCAGGGTGGTCTCTGTCTTGGAGACCATCCCATCTGAGCATCAGCCCGGATGGAGGTGAGGTAGGAGGGGGAGTGCTGGGGTGAAACTGCCGCTGTGGGAGTGGCCTTGAAGCTTCCTCCCTTCCCTCTTGCCAGGTTTGGCTCTTACCGTCAACAACCTTGATCTCCACCATGGTCGTCCAGCGAGCATCGCTGCTGGCGAGACACCAGTAGAAGCCCGCATCCTGGGTGGTGAGCTGATTGAGTATGACCGTGTAGGAGCTATTGCCCGGCTCATCATAGACAGCCAGCCTGCCATTGTACTTATTCTGAACCAGCCCCTGGCTGTCCACCAGCGGCGGGCAGCGGCCAGTATTCTCCCCTTTCCAGCGACACCAGTTCTTCAAGCTCTTGCTCTCCTTGGGGTTGTAGGGGCAGAGCACAGCCACGGAGCCTCCTGTCACCCCCTTCACAACTGTGGGAGTCTGGGGAATTATGGTCTCTGGAAGACAGGTGGAGGTGGCATGAGAAGATTGTAGTGCAGGGATGGCCTTGCCTGGCCCAAGCAGCTCACCGCCATGGTCTCAGCCAGGGTGGAAGGCGAAGTGTAGATGAGGCAGCTCACCCACCCAGAAAATGCAAGACTTGCTCTGAGATGAACAGCCTTTCTGGAGCCTCCAGGAGCAGACTCCAGTCCTTTGCCACCACTATGTGTACATCTCATTCTTTTTTTCCCACCTTGTTCTGAGCAGAGAATGGAGCCAATTTAGAGAGAGAAAATCAGCCTTTGGCTTCTTATAAAACCTCTCTCTCTCTCTCTCTGTGTGTGTGTGTGTGTTAGCTTATCTTACATAAATACCCTCATGGATCATTGACACGTTAATAAAATACATTTAGAGTGAATATGATTTAACATATAAGTAGCATTGACAATTTTAGTGATCAAAGACCCTAAGAGACATCTCAAAGAGGACCATCCATTCTTAACTAATGCTGCAATTTAGGGAGAACCCTGCATGGCTGAAGATGGGAAAGGATGTAGAAAAGACCTGGAGCCAGACATGGAAAGGGTACACTGGGAGCAAAGACTCCCTAAAGAAAAGTTACAAGCACAGGTACTTTGAACTACACACATGGAGTTGCTGCTTCTCATGAGGGTAGCTATGCAGAGTGCACAAGGGTGAGAAGGAGCAGATTTTCATTTATTTTACTGAGTTGATGCTTCTCTGAAGTGTACTTGGGTGGGCTGGATCATGCCAAATAACAAGTAACTTAATAATGCAGGAGTGGAAAATTTGAGGCCAGGGCCTCACCTTCTTGGAAGTTTTGAGGCCAATCTCAGTGTAAGGGATGGGGCATCCACCTTGCTCAGGGCTCTGGGCTCAGGGGAAGAGACAAGGCCTACCAAGGCATAGAATCCCTGACAGTCTACAATTCTTGCCTTAAGAGCTCAGCTCTCCTTATTCATATTAACTAAGGATGGCCAGCAAAAGTCCATGCTAACAGAGAAGAGCAATCAGGACTAGCATGAGGCTGAGGCTGCACTGCTGGCCATGCAGTACCCGGTGTAGGGCTGCTTGGGAAGGGCCTGCGTTGACTGGTGGGTAAGGACGGATATATATTCAGGGAATGTAGCCTCCCACCAGCCAGACCGTCTCCCCACCCTGCCCCGCCTGCAGGGTCTCACCCTGGTTGACAAAGAGCTGCACAGCCTGTAAGGGCCAGCCTTCCTGGGGCTGTCCGTCCGAGTGGGCTCCGCACAGGTATTTCCCTGCATCGCCTGTCTGCAGGCCTGTGATCTGCACACTGAAGTGGCCGTCAGTTGTATCCTTGGTACTGAGTAGTATCCTGCCCTCAAAAGCTGGGTCCCTCTTCCCCAAGGTGTTAATGATCACATCGCAACTTTTCTCTTTGTTCACCCGGCACAGAAACTTTTGCAAATGTGCCACCTCAGGGCCCAAGGCACAGTCAAAGGTCACCGAACCCCTCAGTTGTCCATAAACCAGCTCAGGCTTGGGCTCTAGCACCTGGAGATCAACATTCGTTTTGTCACTGCTAGGACCTTCCCCAGCTTGGCAGACATACATCCCTGCATCACTAGGTCTCAGCTGATTGATAACGATGCCGAACACCAGTTGGCCAGTGCCCTGAACAACCAAGCGCACTCTGCCTATGAAGCTGGGGTGAACGTTATTATTTGAGTCGATGACTAACACACAGGACTCATCTGTCTTCTTACACAAGGACTTCTTTGTAATAGCATTCTGACTCTTGAAAGGGCAGTTGATGGTCACTGTACTGCCTATGTCCTCGGTGTAGACATCGGTGTTATTCAGTAGCCGGGGATCTGCAGGATGAGAGGACACGGTAGTTGTGAGTGACCTATCTTCTAGTGAAATCAGACTCTGTTATTCCCACTGAGGGGCCAGATGAGGCTACCACCTGGAATGCCTTATTGCCAACGGAGACACTGTTGGAGGATATTTGTTGAAGCTCAGGAGACAGTACCCCAAAAGTGAAGGCTTGGGAAAGCCTTAAAGGAGCCTCAGAAACAAAACTTTTCTTGGACTTCTATCTTGCCTTCTTACTCCTTATTTGACCCAAATCTACAGAAACTAGAATTTCTTTTTCCCAAGGCCAGATATAGGAACTAGGGCTCCAAAGCTACCCATACCCCAAAGCTACCCATAAAATGTAAAAGCATTGCTCTGCTTTGTCCCTATCTTTCCATGTAATACCTGGCCACAAGAAGCTTCTGTGACCCACCCTGTGTATCCTAAGACCCTCATTCCCAAGGCATCCTGTCGCGTACTTGGGATGAAGTAATGCTACCACTGAGGGTCCAAGAGGAAGCTGAACAGACAGCCCTGCTGGTTTGCTGCTGGCTCCCTACTAATAGCCCATGCCATTTTGGCTTATCCTATTCTTCATGTCCATTCCTGCTTCCTGGAACCTAAGCATGAAATCAGATGGCTTCCTCTGTGTCTTTGGAACATCATTCTGAAGGCTTTGATGTCTGTGAAACTTTGATGCAATGCATTTGGTATGCATTCTCTTGCTAACCTGATTCTCATTATACAGGCACTGGTCATGGCCCTCAGGATGGGTAAAGGAAAGAATCATCCTCTCTCTTCCCTTAGCCTCTGAGGTCCAGCTTGACTGCCAATTCCTCCATGAAGCCTGCCTCCAGCTACTCTAGTTTCTTGCACCTCTGTCCCTTCCTCCTCACATCTCATCACTCACTATGTCCTCTCTGGGGTAGGTAATCCTGATCTCGCTGGACTGGGAGGCAGATACATTTTCCCCACATTTAACTTTTCTGCTGTGGTCAGCATGATGCCAAGATCTAAACTCACACGTGTGGAAATGAATAGGATGAACGTAAGCAAAGGGTGACGGGTTTCAGTGTATTGCAATACAAACTTACAAGAGCCCAAACTTGGAATGGGCTGTCTTTTGAATCAATGAGTTAGTGCTTCACTATGAGTCTCCACCAGCATCAGAATAAACTGTTTGTTTAGTGTACGGATAACAATACACTTATTCCCGAGAAAGAAGATATGTCTAATTCCTCCAGTTTCCTCCCTTAAGATTTCTAAGTGGCCTGTGACTATCTACAGTGCCTTCCTTGTTGAATTCTTGTCAGAAAGAACCTTTCTTTTTTTGCATTTCTTCAATGAAAACAGCCTTGTTCGGTGTTCAGTGTCCATCTCTTCAGGATCCTGATCACTGGTCAAGAAGTAAGGCTGTAATTAATGCCAACACTTGTGATGGACTAATGGATTCCATTTTTATTCTGGTTATTTTGTTTTGGTAGTACTGAGGATTGAACACTGAGATGCATCCCAGTCCTTTATTTTTTAATTTTTCTGTTTTGAGACATGGTCTCACTAACTTGTTAAGTTGCCCAGACTGAGATCAGACTTCAGATCCTCCTGCCTTAGCCTCCCAGATTACAGGTATATAGCACCATACCTGGCTTAATGGATCCCATTTTTAAAAAATTACATTTTGAAAGAACTTCTGGTGATACAAGGCTTTAATACCAAGAGTGTATTTGTAGTAGGAATTGAAGGATCCCCATAATTTTGACTTTCCTATCATCTTAGACTATGGACCTCTTGTCCAACTTCTAATAAGCACAAAGAGGAAAGCTGTCCTGGTATCCTACACTGGGGCCTCCGTGAAGCCCTGAAATGTTACTGGCCCAGAAGACTCGTCACACCCAAACAAGACTACCTCATTCCTGTACCCTACTATGAAAAGTCTTTCCTTGGGAGAAAGAACCTTCAGACTGCAAGCCAGGATATCGGTCCCACTAGGAATTCTTCCTGCACAGCCCCTCCCTCCCCACTACACTTGACATGATTCCTTCTGAGTGCATCAAGAGCCCGAGGAGCCCGGATGCTTACCCTGGCTGACTTTCAAGTTTACATCAAAGTTCAGGCCTCGGGTGTTGATGCCCAGGCCACACTTGTAATGTCCAGAGTCCTGTTGGCTGAGATGGCTGATGTTCACCACGAAGGCATCAAGTTCTTGGAAGTCGGTGAGGTTAGCTCTGCCTGCGTAGTTCTGGGAGACGTAGCCTTGTGAGGAGATGAGGGTCATGCAGCTGCTGCTAGCTCCCTGGCGACACCAGTACTTCCGTGTGTGCCGGTTGACAGAAGAGGGTGGGTAGTAGCATGTGATGGACACTGAGCTCCCTTCCACAGCGCTCACCTCTTTGGGACCGAAGATGGGGCTTTTTGTGGAGACCACTGTGGAGAGAAAAGATAGATGCTTCCTGGGCCCCAGGAGGTGCAAATCCAGCTGATGGAGCCAGGCCACCCACCCCGCAGAGATGCAATTTTCTACCCAACACTCATCCATTCTGTTTATTTGTGAAGTACTACAGTAAGACAGTTGCTTAGTCAATACAAAAAAAAAAAAAAATCAAAAGATTGCTTAACTATTATTTGACTCTTATTATAATTCATTAATGCAAAATTTTTGAGGACAGTGGATGACAATTATGCTATCTTTTGTGTTTACAGAATTTATCACTTTGTAGAGCACTGTGCTTTTGCATTTTCAGCCTGCTAGCTCCTTGTTTCTCTAAAGACTGTAGCTGATTTCGTTTTTCCAGATAAAAATACTAAGAATCAGGAAGGAGAACTGATTTTCTTCAGATCTATTAATCACTCATAAAGTTGCTTGGTTTGGGGTCAGCTTCTTCTTAATCCCCCAGAAAAGATCTGAACTGTGGTCTTGAAATTAGAAATTGCCATTCCTGCCCCTTCCCCCAGTCCCAGGCCTGGTGACCTATTTTCAGGCATGACCTTCTGCACTTCCTCTGTATGGTTCCCTCTTAAAAAGTACAAATTCTGATTGGAATGTCCTTAGGGAAGAGTCTGATTTCAGCTTTCCAGGGAACTGGTACCTGGAGGGTATGGGGGTAGTGAGTAGAGCCTCAGGAAGTTGGGACCTGGTGACATACCTGGGAAGATAGCCAGCAGGGAGACAAGCACGGAGAGCATCATTGCTGTGGCTCCCCAGGGGCCTGGAGCCTTGTGGGTGAGATGCTGAAAGACAATAACCACAGGAGATGAAGGTCCTTTGTCTCCTGAAACTAGCTGAGTGGAGGACTCTGGTAGTACCTGTTTGGTTTTCTATCTCCAGCAACTGACATAAGTCCTACTGAGCGAACAGATAGGTGGAGCCTCCTTCCCCTAACATCTAGAGCCCCGTTCTCCTACAGTTTATCATTTCTCAATAGTTGCATGGAGACTTTGTCTTCTTACCCAAACTGCATGCTCCTCGACACAGGGATGTCAGCAACAAATCTTTGTCTCTATCTAGGAGACACAGTGTTCCGTACACCACAAGACGTCGGGAATGGCCTCGCTGGATGACTGGTTACAACCGGTATGTGGCCCTGTCTTTCTGTTTCAGCTGTATCCCCCACCTCCCAATGTCCTTGTAGATGGAAGAGGCTAGAATATTTTTAGTGTGTTTAGATAAGTAAACTGAGAACCATAGAATAAATCTGACAATTATTAAGCTTATCAATATAATGGCATCATTGATTATTCTCTTACCATGCCCCAGGCACCACATTACATAATTTATATGTGTTGGGTCATTAATCAATATCAGCCCTATAAATTGGGCTCTCCCAGAAAAAACAAAAGCCTAAAGGTTAAATCGTTTCTTCAATATCACCAGTGGGTCAGTGTATGGGGGTGGACAGAGAGAGACGGGGTTGGGGAGAATTTGAACCCCAGCTTTGACTCCAGAAACCATACTTTCAAGCTCACCACTGAATTGTACCTCACTGAGAGGATGCTTACAGCAAGTGCTGATTCTTGGAGTTTGTAGAACCCAATTTTTGACACTATTAATTCAACCTTTATAACCTCCCTTGAAATAAGACAATCACAGTCATCTCATGGATAAGAAAATTGAGATCTTGAGATGCTGAATGACATCCAGGATCTCTCCGTAGACCAAGTTATGGAATCAAAGGTAAAAACATAGATGTTTTGGTCTTTGTAATCTTACCCAGTGAAGCCTGGCAGACAAAGGTGGAGAAATGAGGGCAGTTTATGTGGACTTTATCACCACTATGAACCCAGCACAGGGCCTGCTAGCAGCTGTCTTCCAAACCAAATACAGCTTAGGGGAGAAGAGGGGAGTAGGAAAGGGTCTCCACTTCCCAGGTACTCTGGTGGACTTTCAACTTTGAAACGGATTGGACAAAGAGTGTTGAAGGAGAAAACATTGGTAATAAACCTAAATAAACCTTGGGCAGTAAAGAGCCCATAAAGATAAGGGAGCTGGGAGCGGGAGGATCCTGGGGAGTTATCTCCCCACACTGCTTTGGCCCCAATTCCTGTGCCCAGAGACTTCCTTTGTACCAACTCGAGCCAAAGGCAATAGAGTTGTTTATCTTAGTTATTTCTTTTCCGTAGGGGAATTTCCCAGCCAGGAACCCTTTTATTTCCTGGTGCACATAAAGATATGCTGTTTCTCCAGTTCTTTGGAAGAGTTAAGGGAGGGGCTGGAGACAGAAATGGATGTCAGGTGGTAGCTTCAGTTTGAGCTTTTCTTAAGTGTGGTTAGTTTCTCATCAGGTCGAAGATAAATTCCTAGTGTGTAACCTCAGGCAAATGTCCTTCTCAGCCCATTTGGATGTGCTCAGGGGCCTCTGGCTAAAGGCAGGCTGAGGATCCAGGCTGGAGGAGCAAAGCCCATCTCTTCTGCCCACCCATGGTGGGCTGGCTGCAAAGCTGCGGGGAACTAAGCTTGCCCTTTGTGCTGTCCTGAATAGTCATAGATGGAAAGGCCAAATGCCACGTGCTCACTTTTAAGAGCCCAAACTGGCAATGGCTGCCCTTGATTCTCATCCTGGTTCTCAACTCTAGATGAACAAATTGTTTAATATTTCCTGAGATTGGAGACCCTGAGGCTGAGCAGGGTAGTAGCCTTCCTCTAGACTGATAAGGTGAGTGACTTGCCCTGTGTGATATAAGAGTCCAATGTGAGAGTCCTGATCCCAGCCTAGGCTCCCTCTCAAATTGTGAAGTTTGGGTGGCTGGGCACATCCCCATGGGAGGAAGGTGGGCCTTTGAACAATCTTAAGCACCAGGGTGAGAGCATCAGGCCAGCACAGGTGGGAGGGTATACCTGCAGAAGATGACCCTGGAAAAGAGTTAGAGTGCAGTGCAGGGGGAGACAGTGGGCAAGTGAGGCACCCATGCTATCAGGAACAAGAACTCTTTCTTGGCAGTGATAAAATTTAGAATGATTCTGTGACAACAACTAAAAAAGACTGTGCTTTAAAAACCAGTAGAGAGGGCAGGAGATTTAGCTTAGAGGCATAAGCACCTGCCTGCCAAGTGTGAGGTGGTGAGTGCAATCCCTGGTTCCAAAAAAAAAAAAAAGAAAGAAAGAAAAGAAAACCAGTAGAGACCCTTTCATCACTGGCTGACTTTCTCCCAAACTCAGGAGAGGCAAGTCTCAGGGAAACTCCAGTTGTAGGGTGGTCAAAGCTGGATTTAAAGTTTTTTCTTAAGAAAAGAAAGTGTGAAATGCTTATTGGACCCTACCATGTGCCCTGTGAGAATAAGCCTGAAGCAGCCCTGGGTTCTTCTACCTGACCCAAAGTAGATTCTATTGTCTTCATATTGCAGAGGGAAAACTAAGGGCTAGACTGATGCTTGACTCATGGCAGAATTGGAATTGTTCTGATCCTTGAATAGGAGCAAGGGTCTGTTCTGTTGGGTTAAATGTATGTTGGTAGGTCATTTTCTGGTCCTAAAATTAGGAAATAGTTTTTTTATGTCATTTCTAGTTGATTATATGGGTCCCCGATATATTCATAACACGCTTCCTCCACAGTTGTTGATTGGGGAAGGATAGGCTGTGCTGGAGAATAGTTTGTCTCCTTATAAAGCTTCTTTAGTCAACTCCATTATGTTGCAGTGTGTGCTATGATCTGGCGTTTAAACTTTTACCTATCTTGTCTCAGGTGTCCCATTTCTCAGGCAAGAAGAGTCACCCTGACCAGGGTCCTGGCTGGGCATCGGAGAGCCCCTTGTAATGTCACAAAGATTTGAGCTTCTAATCTTCTTTGTGCCAGGAGAGTCACTTGGGGTTCTCATAGCCTCAGGGACCGCCAAGGGAACAGATCTACTGGAAGCCAAGCTGGCAGTTTCTTACAACCCACGAGTGTGGGCTTGAGGAGCAGGAAGCGCTGGGGTTCAGAGGAGGGAGGACTGGCTGGCCCGCTGGGAGTGAAGGGCCTCTTCACCTGCACAGAACAGCTCCTTGTCCTGCTTCCAGAAGAGTCCCTGCTTCAGTCCACCTGGGACTGTCACTGTCCTCTTCCCTGGGAAGAGGGGTCAGAGGCAGGCCAGACAGAGCCTGGCAAGTGTTGCATGAGGAGGAGCTTTGCGTCCTCTTCATGCAGCGTTCTGGCCAGCGTCCTGCTCTACCACGGGATATAAGCAGAGTTCTACTACATGGCAAAATATGCTAGCTCAGTCCTCTCATCTGTCACATGGGAAGCATCCCTGACAATTCTTGCTTGAAAGGCCAGTGCCCTTGGGACGGGAGAATATGAGATGGGGTGATGGAATAATGGCTATAGGATTGCTTGCAATAATACCCAGACTCTTCCTGTAAAAAGACGACAATTAAGCCTAAGCACAGGACAGCGGAGAGGGCTCTGTCATCCCGATTTTCATGGTGAAGAAGCACAGAGCGCCAACTCCTCTGCTGGGCTGTCAGCGGTGTGACTGGGGGCTATTTAAACTCTGAGCCTCCAGTCCCCTCCTCTGTAAACTAGTGGTAACTGTACCACATTCAAGAGCTGTTTTAAGCATGGACTAATATATGGCCTTTCGTATGTGTAAAATCAATGAAGTCTTTTTTCTTCCTGCCACGGTGTGAGAGGAGAGAAGGCTGCTTGCCGAGGGCCTTTTCAAGTCTGTGCATGAGCCCTGCAGGTTGGGCCACATTGCTGAGCCAGGCAAGGACAAACGCCACAGATCCGCTCAGAAGATCGCACATGGACCTCTCTCTGAGCAATCTGCACATGTTGACGGGTTCAGCCTTCAGGACCACATGAGGAGGAAGGACAGCATGGGTAGCCATTTCACAGACACCGAAGAGCTAAGAAGCACAGAGAGCTAAGAAATTTGCCCACGGTCAACTAACCACAGAGTGAGGGCCTCGGAAACATGAATCAAAAGCAGAAGCCATGGGAACTGGACAGAGCAGCTCATCCAGGGTCAGAGAAGCAAATTAGTCCCGTCCTCTCCTTTCTACTTTTCACAGGAACGACTGTTTCTGGGAAGACACACCCATACCCAGAAGTAGGTGCCAAGGGAGAAATTTCTTCCTAAAGTAAATCAGCTGCTATTTATTCACGATCTAATAAATGCATGGTAAGCTATGTTTGTCTCTTGTAATTTTGCACATGGAGGCCAAAGTTTCCTTCTCTGTTATACCGTGTCACCCAGTGGTAACGACTCTGAGACCGTGGCATGAGCTCACCCAGATGGAGGGCAGAATGTAGGTAAGGGTCTCTGCCATGCACAAGGCATGAGTAATGCAGTTTGAGTATTCTTTCTCCAAATTCTTGGAATTTTTAAAACACTTTTTGGAGTATCTGCATATATACAGTGATATATCTTGAGGATGGGTCCCAAGTCAAAAATGAAATTCACCTGTATTTCCTATATACCTTACAAGCTGAGGGTAACTGTTTACAACGTTTTCAAATGTGGGACTTTCCACTTGTGTCAAGTTGGCATTCAAAGTGTTTGGGGTTTGAGGGCATTTCAGATTTCAGACTAGGAATGCTCAGGCTCTAATTTTTTAATTATAGTTTGTAGACCGTCTGAACATGTCATTGTTATTTGTACTTGCTAGGTGACTTCCGTGTACTCACATAGACTCGTGGAGTATTAATTTCCTTGACTATGAAATAGGTTTTTTTTTTTTTTTTTGGCTTTTTCGTTTTTACCGGTACCAGGGATCGAACTTACGACTACCTGCTTTCAAGGCAGGCGCTTATGCCACTGAGCTAAATCCCCAGCCCCATAGTTTTGGTTTTTTGATTCAGTGTCTCACTGTGTAGTGTGGGGTGGCTGTGAACTCACTATGTAGCCCAGGATGGCCTTGAACTCACAGCAGTCCTCCTACCTCAGCCTCCAGACTGTTGCTATTATAGACCTGCACCACCACACCTGGCGCTTGGCTATGAAATCGAATCGTGATACCAACACCACCTGAAAGGCACCGAGAGAGAATTTTCTCCTGAAAAACATTATTGCACTTATTTAGCATCTACCCTGTGTAGGTTATGTGGTTTCCTGTAAGTGGGCGCATTGAGGCCGGAGCTTGTTCCTCCTCCATCTCGCTGTGTGGTGGGATAGGATGAGGCTGCAGACACCCAGGGTATGAGGATTTACTAAATGGCAGCTGATGTGCTCATGCTCTTCACAAGCCAAGGCCAGGCGCTCTAGGGATGCTGAGAGACGAGTAACGATCAAAGTGCACGTTGCCCCCCTGCCTCCTGAGTGCGCACCTTCTGCTGTTCCCTGGGACCAGAGGCGGGGGACCAGCACGGATGCAGAGTTCCAGACTCGGCCCTGGGAGGACCTTCTGCTTCCAGCCGCCCAACAGCTATATCTACTCAAACCCCGACATTGGCACATCTCCTCCCTCGAGGGTAACAAAGCCATAATTCTCCCAGTGATGGGGACAGCTGATGGCAAAATGGTCTCACAGAACTGAGCACCTTGCGTGGCCCATGAGCTGGGGAGAGGAGATGGAGCTTGACCAGCGGCTGTCCTTATACAAGCAGCACCAGACCAGCTTGGGGTAACATCTGGGTGGGGAGAGGGAGGGAGGATCTTGTCAGGGCCAAGGAGTTGCTCAGAATTTGTGGTGGCTGTTCCTCTGTGGGGACTTCATTTTCCCCCACAGAGAGCCAAGGCAGGATAGTACTGTGCTGCTTACTTGTGCTTCAGATGCTAAGAATCTGCTGAGGCAAAGCTGGGTGGAAAGGGTTTCAGAGACACTTAGGAGCCCAGAAAAATGGATTGAGTGTAGCCTCTCAGAAAACTGGAGATGGAAAACTTCCAAGACCAGCAAGGGATTACTTTATACACATTCAGCACTTTATACACATTCTCTGAATCCAGATCTGTAAAGTGCAGTATAAATCCTTGAGTAATTGAACTACATTGAAAAATAGCAGAATGATAGCTATTTTGTGCTAGAGATTGCAAAGGTATTTCACACATATTTTCTCATTTGAACTCACATCAACCTAGAGTGGCAGGTGTTATTTATGTGCCCATTTTACAGATTTAGAAACTGAGTCTCAGAAATTAGATGGCTTGTCTGAGATCACCCAATTAACAACCCAAGGGGAGTAAGGTAATTTGGGGAGCAAGCTCAAAGAAAATAAGTCGTATGTTGACCATAGTTTTCTCATCTGATATTTCACAGAAAATGATGGGGTCTCCACACATACAGGTCAACCTTCCCCACACTGCTGGATTATGTGCCTTGATTCCTTGCCGCACACAGTCCCCTAGTCTGCTCCCCTGTCTTCCCATCCCTTTGAGGGTCAAGCTGGAAACGCGGGGGTCGCCTAAGCGACCATCCCAGAGAGCGTCCTGCCCGAGGATGCCAGGCAGCCACACTTACTTTTAGCGCCTTTCTTTCTCCTGTTGATCCAGGGCCACGATCTCTGCCCAGCTGCCAGCAGGGCACTGGATTCTGCTGTCAAAACTGAAAGTGTGCTCAGGGACTGACCCACACCTGAGCTCTTAAAGGGCCACTCTCCCAGAGGGCCGGTGGCCAGCAGGCCATGTGACTCTCACGAATCCCTTGCTTTCCTTTCACTTGGGCTCAGCTCTCTGGCTCCCTGAACTTTCTCTTGACCTTGGGGGAGGCTCTGAGACTCTGGACTCCCCCATCACTGCAGCTGCAGACTATGGGACAGTGCCTACCGTGAGGATCCTGCCCTGTCCTTTGCCAGCTGCAAGACCTCGGGCAAGTCTGTCCTTTTCTCATATTTCTTGACTGTAAAATAGGAAAAGTGATACCAATTCTACAGGCAGAGGACACAGCCAGATAGTAAATAGACCGCTTGGCCTCGGGGATGACACGTAGTTGACACTAGTTTATTTGGGCACGAGTGTCCAGAAAGCCTCTCTCAGTCCTCGGGCTCACATCTCCAGCCACTGGGGAGCATGCTCTTCCGCTCTCCCTAGGATGCTCAGCCTGGACTGAGACACCCTGTCCTCACCTTCCACAGGTTACTAGCCCCTGAGCTTGCAGAACGCGGCAGGCAGAGCTTCTAAGAACCCGGGAGATCACGGTTCTTCTCTTTCCGCCTCTTGGCTGCTCCAGTCTCCCTGAGGCTGGGCTGACTCTGAGGTCTCATTAGGGCTTGGGCTCAGTGCCACAAGGTGGGGGGCACTGGCTTGCCATGTGGAAGTGGCGACCCCCTTCTTTCTGTAGTTAGTCCATGGCAGGTTCCCAGGACATGAAGTGTTGAGGTTTCATGAAGTGACTGTAGCTGTCTCATGTCACACAAGTTAATCCCGTTCTCCAAAACACAAGCACACAAAGCACTGTCCCTTACCACCTCCCCACACAGAGAGATCGTGCCCTGTCCTACCTGTATGGAGCTGACCCGGCTCTCTCTGCAGAGTCCCACAGGCTAACCTCTAGACAGAAAAGGAGAACTAGAGTCCAAGAAACACAGGGAAGTCAGAGATCTGTATCTTATTTTAGGTAACCGCTCACTCACCAGGGCATATTAACCCATAATCACAGATGGCCGTGGCAAGGAAAAGAAATCATATTTCCTACTATGGGGCTTAATTTCAGACCCTACGTGCAGAATTGTATAGTCATTCCTAAGAAAACTAGGTTCGATTCATTGATACGTTGATTATTTCCTTCTAGATTAAAAATTCAGCATTATCCTGAATTTCTTTCATTTGTGTCCTCGTCTTTTCCTCTGGGGTGGCCGGTGGCAGCGCTGGGCAGTGAGAACAGGGAGTGGTCCGCTGTTTTGAACTTTTACCACAGTGCTGTGCTGGCCTCGTGTCCCAGGGGAAATGGCTTTCTCTACTGAGGTGTCAGTTGTCCTGCCTGGTCAGAAGATCTTTATTCCCGCTCATCCTTAGGGGCCTGTGATCTGGTCTATGTCCTCCTTGTCCTATTGCTCAGCCTTTTGGTGGGATTTTATACCTCTCAGCACCTCCGTGGCTGCTTGTACCTGAACTACATCCTTCTGGGGCCTTTAGCAATTTTCTTTCCCTCCCATTCCAAGGTAGATATCTAGTGAGGGGGCTAAGAGGAGACAGAGCTGTGCAGAGACAGTGTGGGAGGGAGACAGACCTGCTTCTGTCAGGTGTCTGCTCCTTTCAAACGTTTTCTGACACTTCTATCCCTTTGAACGTGATAGTCCAGGTACATGCAGGGTATGTGTTCCTGTTTTGCAGTAATCCACTTGCCCAAAGCAGGGTGCAGCTTGGGTCTTGTTGTCTGGTCCATAAGAAGGATGAAGGCGGCCACTGAATATGCGTATAGACACTTGATGAGCCCGTGCGGGGTGAGGAACACATCCATCAAACCACGGCTGCCTGGAGTTGCGACCAGAGATCCTTTCTGCTCCTTCATCCCGCAGTGGTGGAAAGCTCACTAGATCATGTCCTGCGTGTGTCCAGTGGTCTCCAAACTGCTTCGGTGGACCGTTTCAGACAGCTGTGTGCGTGTTCAGCCACACACGTCCCACATACATGACAAACACACAGGCCATGGATCTCACGGGACCAGGTCAGAAAAGGGGAAAGGAAAAAGTGGAACTTGGGCGACAGTCAGGAAGTCAAAACTCTGTGACCTGTTTAGGGCTCAGCCATACTTTGATGTGTAATTGGTGTTACCAGCTTCCCCTCTCACACCTTGGTCTCTGCATTTGGAACCCAGGGCCCCTGTGACCAATCTTGAGGGACAAGGGGCAGGGCAAGAAGGTCCGGTTGCTCAAATCCATAATAATGATGACAACAGCAGTCACATTTACATCACTTCATCTGCTTAAACAACCCCTCTTTTTAAAAGTAATACTTAAAAAAATATAGATGTATACAGGATAAGAAGCACAACCTTTCAACTTTGCCCTTTATGACTCTGGATGTCCAGTGGAAAGTTTCAGAGACACTCATCTAGTCAGCACAACTGTTTCCTGGTCCTAGTGCTGCCTCTAATTTGCTGGATGGCTTTTGCCAAATCCCTTCCTCCTTTGGGGCTGCAGCCTTTCCACCGGTTAAATGAAACGGCCAAAGCCAGATGGTTCCCAAGTCTCTTCCATTTCTAAGATTCCATGTTTCGATTGAGGGGTGTCTTGGATTTCTGTGGCAGCTGTGATGAAGAACTACAACCTTGGTGGCTTTACACAGTAGACATGCGTTCTCTCAGTTCTGGAGGCTGGAAATTCAACATTGGGGTGTCAACAGAGCCACCCTCCCTATGGATGCTCTAGGGGAGAATTTGTTCTGTTCCCCTCTAGTTTCTGGCTGCTGCAGCACTGATTGCTACTCACTGATGGATAATCACCTCCTTTGGTCTTTCCTTCCAGGACTACTTTCCTTCTGTGTGTGTCGCTGTCTTTCTGCCTCTCTCTTATGAGGACCCTTGTGATGGCATTTTGTGCACATCCAGATAACAGAGTGTGAAGTTCTCATTTCAAGGCCCTGAACATAATCATGTCTTCAATGGCTCTTTTCTCAAATAAGATCCCATTCACAAGCTCCTGGGATCAGGATATAGACACAGCTTGGGAGAGAAGACTTTAAAAAAGAAACCTAGAATAAACATCCACAATGACCATGACCAGTTAAGGGTCCAGGAAGATTAGAGACACACGAGAATCTGCATCCTTATTCTCTAAGGATTGACACGTCGTCCACCTGAGGCATTGTCAACCACATACAGCACTGCTGAGGAGTAGCTCTGGTCAGAAGACAGTGAGCCCCCAGGAAAGGCCAGGCTTTGCACCTAGACAGCCTAAGCCCACATCCAAGCCTCGCCATCTGCTAGCCAGAGGACTCTGGGGAATTATATAACGTCTTTTGGCCTAATTACACTACCTCCATAAGGATGTTATAAAGATTAAGTGTAATATGCACAGTAGCTGGCAACTAAAAGGTGCTTTTGATTCAACATCAGTGACTGTTATAGGCCCACTGAACAGGAGAGATCTGAGGCAAAGAAGGGAAATGCCTTGCTCAATGTGCACAGGGCACTGATGGCATTGCTGGGCTTATTAGCAGGATCTTGTAGCAACAGACATTTCCTTTACTTCTCAAAGCCTCCACTCTCAATTCGCATCTTTCAAATTGTATCTCCACAGAAAACCTTGGGGTGATCTGGAGAGGACTGGAGAGAGTCAAGCTCGCACAGATCCAGCCTTCAGGTCAGAAGGTAGGTCATTCACTTGATGCTTCAAGACTTGACCCAATCTGCAGCCGAGAGAGAGACTCACACCATACAGCTCCCCCCACCCCCCGCTGTGGTTGGCCCATCTGGCATAGCTCAGCAGGGATGGTTCTTGTGCAGGTTGCTTTTGCCAAACCAGCAATATAAGAGTGAAGAGGTGAAATGCCTTTTGCTGTCAACTCTACCCTCCCATCTGCAGGTCTTAGGCTGAATCAATGTTTAACCCGTGTCTGGAGTCAATGTTTAATCCCAGGCCAGCCAGTCCTATAACCCAGCATTCCCTTCAAGCCTGAGATATAGAGTCATTTTTGTACTAATCTTGAAAAACAAAATTGTGACAGTAACTCTGCCAAAGCCAAAGCCTTGTCATCTTTGCAAAGGATATTGAATGTTTGGAATCATTCAAACCCCAGTTAGCCACCTACTCCCACCCCAGCAGATAATGCTTGGATTGACAGGAACACAACACTGGCTCTTCTTGTTCTAGCTCTGCATTTTGAGCTGGGGGAGAAGAGTACAGGATGGGGATGGAAGGCCTTGTCACTCAGCTGGCAGCTGCATGCTGCTAACAGCCACCTAAGAGTGGCCGTTGCCTGGAATCTCACTACAAGAACTGAGACTGGAATTGTCCAGTTGGCTGGACTTTATGTTTGGAGACCTAACCCTGGGAGGGAGGGGGGATGCATTACAAGAACTCTGTGTTTCCTTTTCTCATGGGAGATTCTACAGGGCTTCACAAGGTCTTTCCTAAGAAGCTCAGGGTATGGTGTCTACAACCTGGCAGTGCTGTACCAGCGAGGGGGAAATCCAAGATGACAAGCTGGATGGTGAGGCTAGAGATGCCAAAGAAGGGAAGAAGACTGTGCCAGAGTAGTGGCTTCTGTCTTTGGATGAAGTGGGAGGGAGTGACTTACTGGTCACCTGTGAGCTTCCAATCTTTTGTTTTACCCTAATGGACACTCATGACCTGTGTCACTGCCTGGATGTTTGGGCCCTCACCTTTATTCCCAGCTCATTTATCCTCAAAGTGCAAATAGCACTTCTGCTAGACTCTGGGGCTGCAGGAGTTCTTGGTACTCTTTATCACTTTGGTAGCAGCGGCAGTGAAGGCAGAGATGCTGGGGGAGACCCTGAGGCCTGCTGAGTCTCACTCTGAAGGGGGTGTTACGGGTAAAGGAAATGTAAAACTGAATTCCAAAGGAATGGAAATGGAAAGTTGGCCATGGTCCAAAGGCTCTCCCAATTCCCCTTTAGGGATACTCCCCAATTCCCTACCTCTAAACAGCTTTTATTTGATTCCAAGGCAGACGCAAACATTTTCTGAGGTTACTAAACCATCCTTCTGCCTGTTTTTACCTCCACACCCTGGCTAGGGAGAAATGGAAAGAGGAAGACTTTTTAGAGCAGACATCCAAAATCAATAGGTGAGCGTTAGGTAACAGGACCCAGTGCCTCTCCCAGGCCATTGGGGTCCTTCTGGAGACTTCTGACTGCTTCCTTGTTCCTGGTCTGGGCTTGGCCTTCAGGCCAAGGTGTACCTGGAAGGCAACCACTAGAAAAATAGTCCCTGTTATCCTGCAGCCTTTGCCCATCTGAGCCTGTCTGTAGAAGGGGAGTCTTTTCTTTCTGGAGATGTATACTGTAAGTAATTTTTAGTCACCTGTCCTGTACTGCTGGGGTAGGGGAGGAGACAGCTGGCAAACTGAGAAGCTCAGGCCAGTTGCCTTGTGAAATAGATTGCCTTCTCACACCAGGGCCCAAAGAAGCAAATTCTTCGATCCTCTTTTCCAGATCTCTTGTCCTGTGCAGATAAATCATTGGGCAACTTAGAAAACACCTTTGGACATGGTAGCACTGACTCTCCCTTCTCTCTAAAATACTCAGGGTTGGGAGGCAGGAACTTGCAACTCAGGAAAGAAGTGTGAGCCTCTGTGCTCAGGATAGAACTGGTAGTTCTGGACCCAGAAGGCAAACAGGTGAGGAATGGCACAAGGCCAGAGGCTGGAAGGGGCAGAACATAAAGTCCAGGCCCTAACCAGCAAGTGTGTCACTCTAACCAGCAAGGTGACAAATGGTGGCCCATGGCCTGCCACAGCTGTCCTATAAGTTCATGTGCCTCTGGAGGCATGGGCGGGCTCTTCTCCTGCAGCTGGCATCTTTCTGCTGCCCTCCTGGGTGCTGGCTTCCTCTTGCAAAGTGGGTAGCTTGTCCTCCCCCGGACAGTGAAGGCAGCAGGCTAGGGAAAGCCAATACCTGTAAGCCACGTTGTCTCACTTAATGAAGAATGGACAGCGGTTGACACTGGGCCCTTTTTGCAAGGTCACACACAGAGCGCCATTGCAGGGCCCTAGTGTGCTTTCAGTGCTGGTCCAGGCTCCACATGGTAGACGGTACCCTCGCCCTACGTCTCTTGGGTTTCCCTGCGCAGTCTTCTGTTGTGTGTGACTGAGGCTGCTGGGAAATGACTTCTCTGCTCTGTACACCCCACTGGATATCAGAAGAGAAGAAGTGACCCGTAAGTGTTAGTTGGGCAGAGAGAGGCTGGCTTAGGGTGAACCCTTTGCCCAGAATAACCTAAGATAGACCCCATGCATGGGTCCTTAAGAGCTGAGCCCCAAAACCTGAGCTTTTAGCTTTCAGTCTGCCTCCTTGATTGCTTTTTTTTTAAACAGTGTACTGTTAAACAGAACAAGAATAAGCTAATTAGTGACTAGAGATAACAAATTCATACACAAGCAAGAAGATAAAAAGAAGCAAACCTGTAGGATTCCAAATGGGAGTAAACTGGAGGAGGAGAGAGGTAGAGCGGTGTAGGGACCCAGATACAGACTGCATAAGTGGACTGCTTTGAATTGAGTCCCGGCTTGCTGTCTCCCTGGTGGCATACCTAATTTCTCTGGACCTCATCTTTCTCATCTTCATGGGAGTGTCCACGGCTACCTTTCAGGAATGGTTCATCAATTGCCCTACAGCATGTGCTGTGTAGACACACTGTATCAGACAGTAGCTGCTTCCGCAGACAGCAAGGGAAAGGAACTAGAAAGCTGAGCCACTGTCTGCAAAGCTGCCTGATCCCATGAAAATCGGTGGCTTTCCTGCCTCCTGCTTTAGAAATCCCCACCGAGGTTCCTGATCCTAGCCCGGTGGCAAGGGTCTCTCTGCCTCTTGTCTCCACGGTGGGTGCGCTGCACTGGCTGGGATATAAGCCGAAACAAAAAAAGAAATCTTGGAGGATATTAAGCAGCGGGGCAGATCTGCTCTGCTGTTTTTTCTCTGGCTCTTCATGCGGAAGCTGCTGCCCCAGCCCTGCAGCGGTTGGCCCATAAACAGCGGGGCTGCCCCTCCTTGCTTTCTTCCTGCACCTCCAGATCTTATCTCTGCCTACCTCTGAACTCCTGGCCCTTTCTTTGACCTTGTACTAGCTCCTGCCTCTGGCACATTTTAGCTTTTGATAAATCATTCCTACTTCTGGGCACTCTCCTGGTTCCAGCCACTTGGCAAATACCTATGCTTGGCTCATCCTTTCTTCCCCACAGCCTCCCACCAAGCGGGGGCAGGCAGACAGGCTCTGGTGGCTTAGTCCCAGGCAAAAAGTATCAGAGCAGTTCATTAGAAGGAGAGGTCCCAGAAAGGGCAGCCAGCAAGCCCTTGAAGAGAAGTGGGATCTGACACTCAGACCAGGGAGGGCAGAGTCTAAAGGGCTCAGATTGGTAAATCATGGCTCAAGGCTAAATGCAGTCTCTTCCTGCTTCTGCAAAGAGGCTCTGCTGGATCGCAGCCACAGCCATTAGTTTATAGGCCACCTCAGGCTGGTTTTGTGCAGCACACACAGGCAGAACCGAGGGGCTACCACCAGGACAGTGAGGTTTACGAAGTCTGAAATGTTTACACCCTGATCCTTTACAGTAAAAGCTGGCTGATCCCTGGTTTGCTGCTCAAGGCGTCCCTAAGGAGTGATCTGAGGAATTCCTGTTCAGTGAGATTGTTTCCTGAAAGATGATAGCCTACCTAACAGGCTTGGAAAAAACTGCACGTAACTTTCCCACCCTCCGAGATATTTGCAATGTTCCTTCACATGTTGAAGGTTCTGAGAAATCCTGATAGCTTAATGTGTTTGTGGTTTAACTTAGCATTCCCCAAACTGGTCTGACCTATCAAACCTGCTTGTCCTATGAGCACCTCTTAACATCCCCAGAGGCTGGTGTTCCTGATAAACACTGTTGGGTGAAGCTAATGCCCGAGTTCCTGGCCCATCCCTGCCAATAAGTTCCATGGCCTTGGCCAAATTACATGTCTGCCAGATCCTGCTCAGCTTGCTGTTTGCAGGGAAGTCAATTCTTTCTCCTCTATGGTTTTTCCAGGCAGGTCCTTGAGATAGTTTAGCGGGCATGAGAGCAGTCTGGAGAGATGACTGTAGTATTATGGGGTTTTAGTGATTAGCTTTGACAGAGTGCTTAGCAATGAGAAGGCCCTAGACCAAGGTCAAAAGTTCTCTTTTCTAGTCCTTGCTGTGCTATCGATAGCTGGATTAAATCAAAGAGTTTGAACAAGTAATTTACACCACTGGCCTTAGTTTCCTCATTTCTACCTGAGGGTTTTAAACTAATCAGTTGCTAAGGATAACTCAGTTCTGAAATTCTGTGATTCCATTAGGCTTCGTGCATGCAACACCCTAATTTTATCCCAAAAAACAGGTACCTCTCACAAACCATGGAAACTGCATCTCTGGTATTCGTGGAATAATAACCTCTAGGTTTAGAACCAGAAATGATGAGATGTTACTGAATGATTTCAGATGCTGCTGACAATTAGGAGAGAGTGCTAGGCCTTCTAGAAATATTCTCCTGAAAATTCTTAACTCGCCGTTGGAAACTCTCTTCCCCTTCTGCTTCCATTTCTCCAAGACTCTCCTATGCAAACACAGAGTCCAGATAGTGTGCTAACATATCTGGCAAAGAAAAGAACAGATATGATTTTGGAAAAGACAGTGAGGTCAAGGGTAGAGTGAAAGTTCCCCAGCATACAGGAAGTGACATGGTTACAAGGCAAAATCCACATAAAATTCCTCTTCTTTGTTCCTACACCACCCCACAAACCTTTCCAGCTTTGTTGTTAGTCCTTGATATCAAAGATTCATAAGCAACTGAACAAGAGGACTTTTATAAAGAAGGTAAAAATACCCTCCTCCTTCATGAGTTTAGGAAAATCCCAGAAAATCTTGACTGGGTCACAAGGTCTATACAGCATAATCAGGATGAGTCCAAATTGGGGGGGGGGTGATTTGAGCAATGGGTATTCTTGCTTTTGATCTCAGTGTTGAAAGAACCATCTTGGGGGACTCTCAGAGCAAGGGCAAGGCCCAGAGGCAGTCAGAGTACTTGCCTAGGCAGGTTTCTAGAGACCACCAAGCCTGCATCTTCCTAGCCAGTCCACCAATCATTTACGAACTATTTACTGGGGTCCCATTGAGTTAAAAATTCTGGGTGCAAATAGTTTGCATTCTAACATAGCTCACTAAACAGGTAGCCCGACAATAAGCAAAAATACATATCCTAGGTCATCCATCTTGAGAATAAAGATGACATTAAAACTCTCAAACGCAGACCATAATATGCCTCTCTCTTGAAGACCCATATTCTATTTTCTCTGCCTGCATAATTCTTTAGCTCTGCCTAGGCTCTCTATGTCTCTCATTGATACATTCAGCAGTTCATGTCTGTAGCATAAGTAAAGAACCTGCAACTCCCCCTATGGGATGGGTGAATTAACATCATCATCTCTTCTTGCAGGGGACCTCTTTGAACCCTGTGTACTGACATGCGAACATAGTGAGATGGACAAAACCCAATGAGAGCACTAAAGGAGCTTAGATTTTACTTCAGCAGGCAAGATTGGGATACTGGAATAGATTGAAATGTGAGCAGCAGGCAGAGTACTGACAGAGCTCAGAAAAGGGGGCACTTAGTGAGGGCTGGGAATGATGGTGGAGAAGTCATCTTCCATGCTGATTGCAAGTGTCTTGTATTTTCAGACATCCAAGAATGGAAATTGCACACTTTTCCCAAGTGATCTCTTCCTGGGTGTTCAGTAAGCCCTTTCTTGAAGACTTTTCTTTTTGAGCCACACTGTCATCCCAGGTCCAGATGGTTACAACTGCTTCTCCAGGTGGAGCCCCAACTTCATTAGCTTCTCTCAGCATGAGTGGGGGAAGGTTGTGAGAAGTTGGAGTCATAGAGGTATCTGGTCCTCCTCCTTCCATCATGACTGAGCCTTTTATCTTCCCATTGCTCAGGGTCCTGATCTCCTCACCAGGACAGTCAGGCCTGATTGGGGAGGAGGAGAAGGAGGAGGATTACTCTGCAACATCTCCTTTTCCATGTGGGGCAACTGGTCTGGATGAAGGTTTAGCTCCAGGAAACGTGTCATCTGAATCAGGGTGACTTTCGGTGTCCTTTCTGCTTCCTGAGCTGCAGAGACACAGAGAAGGCTGTGAAGATTCTGGGGTGGACTGTGGTGGGCCTGATTCCCTGAGAACACCTCCACCTGCTTCGAGTATCTGAGAATGTCTCCCAGCAGGAGGGTTGAGCCCTTACAGCTATCCAGGAGCCCAGCTCTAAAAACTTCCTCTTGCTTCCAGAAAATGTCACCCTTTCTTACACCCTGAGGCCTTGCTTCAAACCTAGCAGTGCTGTGAAAGAATATCAATGGGCCTTGCAAAAGGCACAAAGCGGTGTTTAGTCCTGGAGCTGGACTCTGCCCTCCTGCCTCTGCCTCCAAGGTTGCTTATGTAGTTCCATTCCTGGGGTCCACACAGTCCTAACAATCTCCCAAGAGCTTCTCCTTGAGCTCTGGCCTGCTACTGAGACATACACACCAAAGAAGCCAATGCCAAATGACTCAGACTACAATTCAGCTCTGCTGTGAGCAGAAGCCCTAACATTGAGGCTAACCCAACCCAGCCCTGAGGGTTCCTGGCACATCTTTCCCCAGCCTTAGAGCTACTTAACCTCACTCACAGCTCCTCTTTCTCCGGAGCGTCCTTTGCAAAAGCACCAGAGCCACAAGCAGAAATGGGGCCAGCATGGTGGAGACCGGAGTCAGGATCCGAGAGCCACTTTCATCTTGCGGAGAAGCACTGAAAGGAACCAGGGCAGGATGGGAAAAGCACAGGAGAGGGAGGTTGAGTTCCTTTGTCTCACAGGTGGAGAAGTTGAGGCCAATTGGCTACCCTCATTCCCAGGCTGGTTAGCAGCAGAGCTGGGACTAGAAATGCTGTTTTCAGGTTCTCAAGCCCCCAATCCTTTGTCCTTCTATCCTTCCTGAGTAAGCTGCACTGTGTGTCACAGTGAGAAAGGGAGCAAGTGAGGCCTTGACACGGGGGTCCGCTGCGGACTTTCCTTGTGATTTTAGTTCTTTCCTCTCTGGAGCATCTGTTCTGTATCTTCAAGGTCTGGACTATACCAGCCGAAAGATTTGATCATTCTCTCATTATGATTCCCCTTGCAAACTGCATTAGAATGGACAAGTACCTCCTCCCCACCGGGACCCCAGTGTGCACACACTGTGTGTCTGATGCTCGTCCCTGCCTTTTACTGTCCTGCGGGCACAGACAGAGAGAGAACTGAGCAGAGAGAGGAGAGGTACCGGGAACAGGGCAAAGCCAAGACTCCAGCCCAGAGGAAGGGCCTAGGGCTCACCTCTTCCTGGATGACCCTTTGCCAGAGGGCCTCTGGAGACCTGCTACTGGGCCCCAGTTCGGTGTTGCTTGGGGACCCTGGTCTCCAGCAGTGCTTCTTAGGTCCCCCTCTGTGCCTCCTTCCATAGATGCTGTCTCTCTGTGTGGACCTGAAGCTGGAGTTGCTGCTTCAGAGGAGCCCAGGGCTGGTTGCTTAGACACCATACTTGCTTCTGGTAGAGTTTCCCAGGGTTGGGCTGATGGCCAAGTGGTCTCTGTGGTCTTCTTGGCTGCATCTACAGCTATCTCAGCCCTCTCTCTTTGCTCCCCTGGCTTATTGGCCTTAGTGGCTGTCATCTCTTTTCCACCCTCACTGATGCCTGTTGCCTTTGTGACTAAGCTTCCAGCACCCCATTCCCAAACTTCCTCTGCTGTAGAGGATGTGCCATGGAGTTTTAAAACTGGACTCTGTGGGATGGGGGCTGTTGCTGTAACGGAGCCCTCTGTGGCACAGTCTGTCCCTGGAGCTTCCTGTTTGGCTGTTACTGGGGTTTGTCTTCTCTGAGCTGAAGCTGTGGTGTCTCTGGTTTTTGTAATGGGAACAACTCTGTCCCATTCTGCCCTCCACACTTCTAGAGTCTGGGTGGCTCCTGAAGTCCATCTTTTGGCTGCTGGGGATGCTGTGAAGAAGTTGCCAGCTGCTGGAGGGGCTGTGGGGATGGTGCTGGAGGGACCTGTGTGAGCAGCAGAGAGAAAATACGAGTTGAGGCTGTTCCACAACATTCACAGTGTGGTGATTAGATACAGTGTCAACTTGGTTGGCTTTGGGATCTTCCCAAGGGTCAGTGGAGCACACCTAACAGTGTGTCTAGGTGAATCACGGAGGGTGACATTGGGCTCTAAATCTGGTCCTTTATCCTTTCCTCTCTGGCATGGTTCCCCTGCTCTGCTTTCCACCCACCATGAGCTAAGCATCTTCCAGGCCTTTTTACTCTGATGATTCTGCCTTGAAGCTGAATCTCCATGGACTGAACCCTCAGAAAACATAGGATCTCCTTTACCTTGTGGATGTCAGGTTTTGTGTTCCAGCCACAGGAAGCTGATGAACAAACGGGTGTTGGGAAGCCGGCAGGTGTGTGTATGTGTGTGTGTGTGTGTGCACTCAGTTGGTTTTTCTTAATATCTTTCTTCTTCCTAAAAATAGCCTCCTGAGAGGAAAGGCTGCCTCTCAGAGCCATTGTCCTGGCCCAGCCTTTCAGCTCACTCCTCCAAGGTCCACAGCTTCCCTGGCACTCTGAACTTTCTCTTGCCCCCTTGCTTCCTAGCTTGGGCCTCTCCCAGCCCAGCCTATTAGCCTGCAGCTCTCACCTGTAGAGACAATCAGATTCATGCTGAAGAATAACATGTTGTTGTTGTCCCCGATGCCACAGCGGTAGTTTCCCTCATCATCCACAGACAGTCGGGACAGCCTCACTACAAACAGGTTGCTCTGTGGAAAGTCTGCTAGAGTCACTCGGCCACGGTAGCCATGGCGGATATAGTGGTTGGTGGACACGATGGTGTGGCAGGCCCACATCGGAGGCCCTGCACGGCACCAGTACTTCCTCTGGTGCTTGTTGATTGACAGGGGTGCATAATGGCACCGGATGGTGACAGTTCCTCCAAGCTCCCCAGACACCAGCCTTGGGCCCTTTAATGCATTTGCAGCTGCAGATGGAGAAAACAGCTCAAGGTGAGACTCATGGGCATCCTCACTGTTTGGGGAGTTACAAAGCAAACTTTGCTAACTTAAAGGCTCATGTCAGAAGACACCATTGTGAAAGTGGAACAGAATGAATGTAGAAATGGCAAAACTTAGCCATCGAGGGAGCAGGAATTACCACAAGATAAGGAATGGAGCAGGATCCAAGATTTCGTCTGTAAGATGAAAATGCAGGAAGAATCTTGCCCACTATTTTTCCCCCCAGCAATGAGGCCTGAACTCAGGATCACTTATCACAAGCACTCTTCCACTCCACACTGTGCCCCATTTCTTTTAAGTACCATTTTGAGTTGAGGTTTTCCTAAGTTGACCACTGTGGCCTCAAACGCATGATCTTCCAGCTTCAACTTCTCAATCTGCTGGGATTTCCAGCATGTGAAACCACCTTTGATTCTTGCAAACTATTTTGCTAATACTTATCATGTGCTAGGTTTTCTCAACAAATCCATCCAGACTGTGGGTTGACTCCACCGTGCTTGAGTACAGACACTGTCTCCGTACCCATAGGAGGGCAGAAGCAACATCTGGTTTGCATGGGATGTTAAAGAAGGAAGATGCTCAGCAATGTGAACATATCAATGTGCTTTTCCTCTGAAAGAGAAAGGGTCCACTGAGCCATAACCTGCTCTGCTTGGTGGGTTTATACACCCCACGGCCAGTAGCTGCAAAGTTTCTCACACTGACCACTTTTCTGGAGAAAGAGAAACAGCCAAACAGATGAATACAGATCTGTGCAAGAGAAGAGGTGCACATGTACCCATGTTTCTTTGGCAGTAGCCCTAAAGACCATTCATATTTGAACTGCACAATATGGCCAGTCTTCAGAATGACTTTAATCTGATAGAGCACAAGCAGCAAAGCGGTTCATTTGGTTTCCCACTGCCTTTTCATAACTTCCTCAGCAGCTTGATGAAATCTCAAGTGTAATCTCATATCTAGTAGCTTTTATTGTCTGTCTTGGATAATAAAAAGTTCAGTCTAGTCTAAAATTATATGTCTGGCTCAGTCAGAAGAAAGGTTGCACTCTAGTCTCCTACCCAGTGGGTGCCTTTTCTTTTGGAGACCTATTGAAGAGAAGGGGGCAGGTTGGGGTCTTATACTTTACTCTCTCCTTCCTCTATTCAAAGCTGCAGTTTGGGGCCCCTCCCGGGCAAGGGACTGGAGGAGAAGCGAAAGGTGACCAGACAGGTGTGATCTGCTCTTGGTGCTTTCTGGGCATGGCAAATCTCCAAAATGACTCTTTTTTTTGCTCCCCAGATACCTTTTTGGTAGCTTGTGGTTGCTATCCTTCCCTAGGAGATGAGCTCTCTTTCTGCTGACTTGTTACAACTACCATTACCCAGGCTATGGCTTCTAGCCATCTGTCCCTCTTTTAGTGGTCACAGTCTCTCTTGGGTGCCCTGATCACAGGTAGCACAATTTTATCCTGCTATTGAAGAAGCTTGGGACATATGACAAACTTGGGTGGCTGTCTAGAAGTTTCTTGCCTTCTGTTGCCTAAAGCCAGGGAGAGTGATCGCTCTAGCCCCCAGAGCAGGAGAAAGGGAGCACAACATGCTCACAGTTTTTTCCAGCACAGTTTCACAGGGAGTGCTCTGCCTCCAAGGATTCCACTTAATGACACAGAGGGCTGCATACAAGCCAATGCTAGAACAAGCTTTACGGTCTCTGACTATAGTCCTACAAATTGGTTCGACACCTTGCTTTAGGCTGTGGGTTCCTCATGATTGGCTCTAGGTCTCTGAGGTCTGAGCCCAAGATATTTCTGTTTAATATCTTATTCCTGGACCACTAAATAATTTTTGAGTCTCAGTGCAAGACCTGCAAGTGACAAGTGCAAATGTAAATGTGAGAGCCTTTGTTCAAAATGTCTTAAGAATTTTATGTGACAACAGCAGGAATAAGTCAAAAAGTGTTCGAGCATAGGGTCTCATGTGGCTTGTCTGTTATGTGTGTCCTAAGGTCTAGTGACAAAAATAAATAAATAACTAAGGTCGTGTATGCCATAGTTATAAGAATACTCACTGTAGGTTTAACTAAATAGCACATATTAATCCATGCAACTAATGATCAAGTGGAATGGTAGTTTACCAATAAAGGACAAGAAGGTTTACTATTATAAACAGACTGTCTGAGGACAGCTATGGTGATGCTGTAATAAAATGTTTATAGCTCAGATTTTAGGAGTTCTCGTGTTCTACATATGTCACTTTTGAGATGAGTACACTTTGATTAATAATCTGCACAGGGCAGTCTGACTTCCCAGTAGAAAGATGATTAAGAATTCTTGCAGGGCATGTAATTTTTTATTAATACTTATATTAAGAGCCAATATTTTAAAAATGTATTTGATAAGTTCCTAATCAGTAGCTCTTTGCATTATGTAATAATTAAATTTTGCGGTGTTGTTTTTGGAATTTTACACTAGTCACTTGTAGAATTAAAAGACAGGCTAGCATTTTAAGAACAACATGATAGTCTGAGGGGGACCTCATGTCAGTGTGCCCCACGTCACTACCTTGCTGAAAGCTGGGGCTCTTGATTCTTACCATCAGTCACTACCCTGCAGCTGTCAGTGGCTGTGACCCCATCAGAGAGGGCTGAAGACTTCTGGAACTGGAGGGAGGTTATGGGCGGGCTTGGTTGGAGGAAAGACATCTATGACCAGACAGAAGACAGGGAAAAGGAGGGCTTGTACCTATGGAGGAACTCCCACCAGCAGGGGGCTGAGGAATATGCCAGGGCTTTTGTGGTTCAGACATGGGTGCCCGAGGGGTGAGCACCAGCCCACGGCCATCTGAGGTGGGGTCCTCTGTGTGGAGGGGTCAAAGAAGAAACAAGGCAATTGGAGGAGCTGAGCCATTAGGGGCCACCAATGTCCCCAAAGCACCCATGGAAAAAAAGGTACAGAGCCAGCTCAAATCCACACTTGGCCACTGTATCCATTAAGAGCTGCCTGAGCTTCCTGTCTCCTCCTGCCACTGTCTGCCCTGCTGGAGTCTCTGGTGACAGGGAAAGAAGGAGGAGCAGAGGACAGAGGCAGCCTGGACACAGACTTCCCAGGCTGGAAGGCTGCAGGGGCTGCGAGTGCATCTCTGAAGGAAGATCAGCTTCTGACCAAAATACTTAATGATAAGCTTCAAACGATTGAATTTAGAACACATGAGGCATAACACAACTCATTTAGAACCAAGTCAGCAGGAAAATAATGGGCTTGCCTGATTGGGGCAGGGGAAGTCTACTTTTATTGCACAGTTTTAAAGGGGATGAAATATGAAGATAGCGGGATTATATTAAATAAGAGTGCTTACTCAAATAGAGGCTACCTTTGATTCATTGAGACTTTCTTTTGTTGATATCAGGCATAATTAATTCCTTTCTGCTATCATCATGGCGCTTCATCCAGTCATTAGCTCATTCAATATTTATTTGTTAGGCATCTGCCTGGAACTAGATTCAGGCAGATGCATTCTGCCTGAAACATAAACCCTGCATTCCTTGGTGGCTCCCCACTGCCATTAGGATAAAATCCAGAAAGCACTACATGGAGACAGGGTCATTCATCATCTAGGCAGCCTCACCACTCTCATCTACAATGACCTTTAGAGCAGGGATCCTCTCTTTCATTTATTCGTCTCCTGTGCCTGACATGTAGTCAGCTCTTCACAAATAATGTTAAGTAAATTAGGAAATAAAGATAATTTTTATTTACTCACACAATTTCTTTATAGAAGGAATACTTAAGACCTTATAAGTGTTTGTAGAATGAATGGAAATGAACCTTTCTACTTCTGACCATCACATATCCCCTGCCTCTTTGCCCAGTGCCAGCCTGCCACTCCCTGTGCCAGGAGAGAAAGCCGGCAGTGCGGACCCCACCTCTGGGCCCTCTAGGGATCTCTGTGGCTTGAAAGAATTGGTCTGGTTCTCAGGCCCTGAATTTGGGCCACCTTTGGGACTCACCTCGTAGCAGACACAGGAGGAGGAGGAGGAGCAGGAAGGGCATCCTCCACTCTGCCCGCCGGCTGGTGACCTGCAAGGAACACTGTCAGTGGAGCCAGCAGCATGAGGAGGCAAAGAGAACCCAGGGTGGGCAGCGGCGAGACCCAGGGCCAAGTGCCTTCTCACTTCAGGGTCTTGGTCTGCTCAGAGCAGGAACCAGGTTGGAGGAATCTGAGAGCCTCTCTGGGAAAGGGTGGCCCTATCGTCACACAGCCTGCACATTTGGCTTGGGTCACTGCTGCCATGGTGTGTGCAAGTTTCCTTTGCCTGGAGGTTTCTGCACTCAAGAGATGAAATTCCCTTAGCAGGACTCCCCCTCCAGCCTCCTCTCCCCAGCACGGAGTCTGGAAAGACCACGTGTTGGCTGGAGTTACAGAGTCTTGGAAAGAGCAGTCTTAGGGATCCATTACCCTCCAACGCAGTGAGAACCTGTGTGGGGTTTTTGTCTTATAAGTTCCAGAGTGGCAAAAGTGGTGGTCCCTGTACCTGTGGTGTAGAGTGATCGCCTCTCTCCCTTCCTTACCCTTTCCTCCTTGCAGAGGGAGACTGGCTGCTTACGGAGGCTTTCTGTCCTACTGGAGTGTGTGGCCCACAAGAAAGAAGGAATTAAAGTGAAACCTCTGGTCAAGTAGCTGCCATGCCATGTTACTCTTCTATTTTGTCTCCTCTGCTTCTAGAGTGTCCACACTGATCTGCTCTGTTCTGTTCTCTTGCATTGGCCTGCAGATCTCCTTGAGGACAGTACCCTGGGGTTCACCCTGAACCTGCTTGAAGTGGGATCCACCACACTGTGGGTGTGTGACTCCCATGAGCCCAGCTCTTTTCCAATACACAACATGAGGGTCACTGCCCAATAGCCTTTTGTTGCATGTTGATTACAAAGAGCTTGCACAACCTACTTTTTCTGTATTCTCCATAAGGCATTCATTCATGGGTGCTTTTTGATTGATTAAAAATTGTTCTTTGAATTGGCCAACCTGCTGAATTGGAATGTGTAGCAGGTCATTGTTTTTTCTTTCCTGCTATGATACAAGTTTCACTGAAGCTAAGAGCAGGTGCTTATACCATTCACAGTAACCAAACTATGGAACCAGGAGGGTGTCACTGATAGCTCAATGTACATACATACAAGAAGTTTCAATCAGTCAGAAAAAATACAATCCTGTCATTTGTTAGAAAGTGGATGGAACTGGAGATCATCATGTTAACTGGAATTAGTCAAACTCAGAAAGACAGGTATCACCTGTTTTTCCTAATATGTGGAATCCAGAAAAAAATGAGCTAACATGAAGGGGATCAGGAAAAGGGTGTAAGTAAAAATAATGGGGGATGGATAGAATCAAAATATGTCATTGCAGTTATGAGAATGCCACACAGAAGCCCAATAAGCTGTAAAATGGACATGAATATAAAATAAGGACAGATGCTTATGGGCAATAGCCTGGCCACAAGCAGGAACACCCTTGCTCTCCAGCTAGACAAGGTCACACAGTGTCACAGACCAGGTTGGCATATAAAGTGAGCCCAAAAGAATCAAAAGGAGGAGAAAAAGAAATGGGAAGAAACAGGCAGAGGAAGTAGGAGGTAGAGGAAAAGGAGAGAAGAGTGGGGAACAGGAGGAAGCAGAAGAGAGGAGAGAGCTGTAAAGTGGTTGGTGACCCCACAACTTCTACTTGACACCTGGATCAGCTCTGACCAGCTGTCTTTCTTACGCCTGGCCTGGCTAAGGCTCTGAGTGTGATGGATTTTGAAAAGTACTCAGGCTTCTCAAACCTCATAACCCTCCCTTCTGCAGGTCCCCTCTCTTGGGGATTACCATAGTAATTTCAGCCCTTTTCTGGAAACTGTCCACCCCAGAGGCTCTGCTGGGCAGGCCTCTCCCTCATCCCTACTTGGCCAATATTCACCAAGACCAGGGTGCCTCTGGTACTGGCTTTTGTTAAATTTCCTAAAGTGTAAGTCCTAGCACAGCACAGATTGGGGCCAAAGTCTCCTTGCTATGCTACCCTGCTCCTCGGAAGCCTGATGGTGCAAAAATATCTCTACTTCAGGAGCAAAAGCCACCTCCAAAGGGCAATGAGGAAGCACAGAGGGTGAGATAAAAGCTTTCCAGAGGGTTATTGGCTTTAATTAGGGGGCTGGAAGCATATCATTCAGGCAAATGTCTCCAAGGCACCCTCCCTACCATTGACCTTTAGAAATTTGTTCTTCAAGAGAGAGGCAGTGCCAATACTGAGGCCTAGGCCTGCGGGCTCCATTACAGCACAGTTCTAGTGGCCAGACCCCACTGGGGAGTTCTCTTGCCTTTCTGATCCTCCTGGGAAGCACCTCATCTCCAGCACAGGCTCATGTGTGGCTTTGCTGTTCCTTGCTGCCCCTCTGATTCCCCTTCTGATCCATCTCTGGAAGCAGACTGGAAGGGAATGGGATGAGGATGGCATAGAGAGAAAAGCACAGAACTAGGTGTTCTGCTTGGCTTGAAGCTGAGGCAATGATCAGGCCCAAGTTTCTATTCTTTTCCATTGTAAAGGAAGAACTTTGCTTAAATGGCCTGCAAATGTCTTCTCTTTCTGATGAGTGCTGGCTCTTCTCAGCTGGGCTTTCAAAGGGAACAGTCACTCTGCTGGGGCTGAGCAGAAGAAGAGGAGCGAGATACTGTGGCCTGAATGCCACGATCCTTACCCGGCCTCTGGGAAAGGAGCCCACCTTCCTTGATGGTAAACTGGGGCACAAGTGAGCGTTGCTGCTGCAACCTCCCCCCATTCCGCGTTCAGAGCAAGACCCCAACTTCCAGGAAAAAGGCTCATCTCACCTTGCATTCCCAGGGCTTCCTTGGGGCTTCTCCATCCATCTCTGTCCAGAGATAAGATCCCTTGAGCTCTTAGCCTTGGAGGTGCTGGCACTAGGTTATTCTCCAGTCGCTTTCTATAGGCTGAGGTGTGGTGTGCTGGACAGCAGCAGGAGCTGGCACCAGAAGATCGAGGATGAGCGCGGCACTGCCACTCACCCCTCTGCTGCTTGGATCAGGTCCCCTCACTGGGGCTTAATACGTAGAAGAAGAAGCCGTCCTGGTTCCTGCTTGTCTTTACTGTCTCTGATTCCTACAGAACTTCCCCAAAGTGGTCACAGTGATGTCTCAAGGAAAACGCCTTGATCCACATGTCCCTTCCAGGGGAGGATCCCTGACTTTTTAGGAGGCTTGGCTCAGCCAGCTCTCTCAGGGATCTCCAGAGCAAGTGATCAACCACCTGGGCAGGAAGAGAAGAGAAACTTCAAGATTCAGGAGAAGAATTCCCCTGCCATTTGCCTGGCAGTTGCTGCCCCTTGGCTGACCTGGCTCCTCTAGCTCCTAGGAAGCAGCAGTGTGGGCCATCTGGGTCACTGACTTCCGCTTGACAGGCTGACTTGGTGGTTACTTGCTCACGTCTTGGACAAAGAACAATTCAACAAATGTGATGATCTTTGTGGAAAGAGAACACAGATAAGCATGGCTTATCCAAGGAATGACACACTTAAAAATGGCCCAGTAATTCCCAATGGGAACAGTTTATGGGGCTTTCTTTTCCTTGTAAAAGATGTCATCATCCTGCCTCTGCTGGTCTTGAACTGACTACTGAGGAATGGGGTTGGTGGAGACTTAAGTCAAGGACCCTTGCCAGGACGCCCATATGTAATGGCATCCTCAAGTCAATTAAAAAAAGACTCCTCCTTCTGAAGAGCGGGGACATTTTCAACCCATGTTAACACTGTTCTCCAGGCATCCCTCCTGCTGTGAAGACAGGTGAGGGCAGGACCAAGCTGCTGAAGTGGCAAGAAGGAATAGACAACTCTGAGGATGCTTGCAGGGTGGCTGTGATGGGGCTGTCTTATGCACATGGGTGCCTAGCTCTGTGTACTGCTGTACAGGGACTTGGCACTTCTAGTGGCAGATCCAGACTGCCATCCCCACCTATAGCATCCCATGTAAGTTAGAGGACACCTACAGCATGAAAGCCAGCTCCCAGATGAGGTAGGTGCCCTTGAGCAATGTACAACCTGAAGAATTGCATATGGTGGCCCTGCCTTTGAAGACTCCTCCCAGAACAGACTGACTCTCACACAGGTTGCAGGTAGGTGGCTGATGCCTGGCTAGATTTACCCTCCCAACCTCTCAGGGAGCAGCATCACATCATATTGAGCATATCGACTGTGAAGTCAGACTCCTCCTACCCCCAAATTTATATGGAAAGGAGATGTGGATCGGGTTATTTATTCTTTTTAAACCTTGTTTTCCTTTTTTTTTTTGGGGGGGGGGTACTGGGATCAAACTCGTGACTTCGCACTTGCCAGGCAGATGCTTATGCCACTGAGCTAAATCCCCAGCCCCTAAACCTTGTTTTCCTAATATGTTAGATTACAAACTGTAGCACCTACTTCCTAAAGTAGACTGAATGAGGCAATGCCATGTATGCGGTAAAGAGCCTTGTATGTAGTAAATTCTCAGAATAACATTATTAACTGAGTTTATAAAAGGAAATAGCTGTTTGTAATGATCAAACGCTCAGAAGCAAGTCCTTTGAGGTTTTCATATATGAAAAGTCTGGGCCTCCCTTCCTTCCTTCCTTCTTTCCTCCCTTCCTTCCTTCCTTCTTTCCTTCCTTCCTTCCTTCCCTTCCTCCTTCCTTCTTTCCTTTTCCCTTCTTCCCCGTTTCTTGCCTTACTCTGCACCTCTTCCTTGTTTTCTTTCTTTCTTTCTTTCTTTCTTTCTTTCTTTCTTTCTTTCTTTCTTTCTTTCTTTCTTTCCCTTGCTCTATTTCCTTTTTTGCTCTCTCTTTCTTTCTTTCCTTCCTGCTTTCTTTCTTCTCTCTCCCCATCATTTTGACATTTCAAAGATTTAAAATATATCAGTTTGTCTAAGAGCACTTCTGGATCTAATCTATACTTTAAATGTCAAGTTTCATTTATAAATGATGTAATTACTTTGTATTCCCAGTGTATCTTTCTCTATTTTATCAACCTTTCAAACTTAGACTTTATCATCACAGAAGAAAGAAAGTGTAGTTGTAATATGCTGGGTCAGTTTTCAGAGCACCCACTCGCAACCTTGATGTTCCCTTATGGGGAACATTATGAAGGTGAATTATGGAGGTGAATGCTTTGCCCTGGCTACTGCTTTAGGGGTGTCACTGAATTTTCTTGCCCAACACTAAGCTACAGGGGAAATTTTACACTGTTTTATGACACCATTGATTTTCTAAGTTCTGCACACAGACTCCAGAATCAGGCCAAATAATGCATCAACAACATGTCAAATCCGAGAAGAGCTTTATTTACTCCCAGCTTGCTCTTCCAATCTCCAGTACTCTAATCTTAGATTTAACAAAAGATAAATGCAAGCTAACTACACCCACAAGAGTAAAAGAATCACCAGCAGACAGAAATCCATGTAGTTCGCCCAATCCCTTCCATTTCTTTGCTAGTCAAGGCTTGCATGACTTCTATATTATTGCAGTGTTTTCTGTCCCTCATACCCACTCTGCAAGCTTTTTAAATAATCCTTATTATTTGCTGGAAAGACACACCTTCCCTTTTAGCTCCATTGTTGAAAATATTCACATTATAAGGCCTTGATCATTTACCTAAAAATTTACAAAGGAAGTTGAGTAATAAGACTTGTCACTCCTCCAAAATGCCAAAATAAATAATCATTATATAATGGCATTTGGCATGTTTTTACAACTTGAAACAGCTCCAGCTGATAGCAAGATTTGTGGTCCAGCAACGTTCAACTTCTGGGGAACAAAAGGCAGTTAGGAGAGTGCTGAGACTGCTTATTGTTTGTTTGCAGACTGCTGGCCAAAGTGCAGAATAAAGAACCCCAGGAGAGCATTTCACATATAGGAATACAGTAGCCTGAAACCTTAGCTATAGCTCATACAATGAGTTAGTATGGATCACTGGTGGGAAACACAGTCAGTAGGCATTTAACCTAATCTTTGTGGAGTGACTTGACTCTAGGGGTTGAAATGAATGTGTTTCACACTGCTTAGAATTAGTAGGCTAAGACAGTGTTTGGAAGACACCTTACCCCGGGATGATGAATCACGGTCCTTACAGGATGGAAGGCACCTAACACCCTAGATAACTTGCAATTGGAGAGTGAACTGATCTGGTCCCCTTGGGGAATGGAGGTTTATGCTGTTCAGCTCTGTTGCTTGCAGACATTTAAGGGCACTAGTAGTTAACAGAGGGCTGGGGTGTGGCTCAGTGGTAGAAGATGTCATGGGGGAAGGTGTGATAGAAGAAGTCTATGTGCCTCACCGCAGCCAGATATTAGGGACAAGACATAGTCCTCAAAGGTACTATGTCTCCACAGTTCCACTCCCTCCAGCTAGGTCCTATCTCCTGTAGTTTCCACCACCTCCCAATAATCCATTTAGCAATAGATTAATCTATTAATGAGGTTGGAGCCTGTGATCCAGTCATTCCCCTACCCATGGACATTGCTACTTAGGGAACAAGACTTCAACATAAGAGCCTTTAGGAGACACTCCAGACCCAAACCCTATGTATTCCTACATGTGGAGCATGTCAAAGAGACCTATTAGATGTGCTAGGACCAGGGATTTAGCCCGGTGGCATAAACACTTGCTTGGAAAGTGCAAGGTCATAAGTTTGATCCCCAGTACCCCCCCAAATTCTTGAATTCAGATGTGCTGCTTTTTTCATTGTTGTAGGAAGTGAAAGATGCAATTTCTTGGCAAGCCCCTGGTCATAGGATCCCTAAAACTATTCTTAATGCACCAGGCTCTTGAATCTTTGAAAGGGTCACTTTCTATCCCCTGAAACACAAGTGTCAAATTAAGACCTCCAATATGCTAGCCACTTCTTGCTCATGTGGCATGATTAGCATGTCATTAAATGGATCGATGTGACCTTTCTCAGGATGTCTAGGTGATCCAAATTCCTTTGGACTCTATTATGACAGAAGGCAGAGGAGTTACATATCTTGGTGTAATGTGCTGTTATTCATCATTTGGAAGCAAGCGGTCTCTAATCCTCTCTCTGATAAGAACAGCAAACAAAGCATTCACCAAATCAAGGCTGTATGCCATGTGCTTGAGACAAGATAAATTTGTCTCTTACAAGTAAATGGTCACAGTGGCTGGAATTGGGGCTACTATTTGGTTCATTTTGTGGTTATTTACTGTCTTTGTTTAGGGATCACTTGTGTTATGCAGGGACAAACTATTGAATTAAATGATGGTATGGGTACTATCATCTAGTATCCTTTGGGTCATTAAGGATGGAACTAACATCTAGAATTGCCCTATCCTGTGATATTGTTTTGCATTTAATGGAAACAGGGAATTCCAAAGTCTTCGTTTGGCCCCACCATCATAGCTTTACCCCACAGGTGCAGTACCCAGTGATTCAAATGGCAATGACAGCAATCCTGATCCTATACTCGGAGACTGGAGAACTCGGGGCTGGCTGAGAAGATCACAAATTGATAGGTAGCAGGGTAGACAGCCTCTCTGAGAGAAACAACTCAGATGCTAGAATTTAACACCATGGAGAAGACCAGAGGAAAGGAGAAGGATTCTCAATACCCAGGAAGAAACTGAGGGAAAAGAAAAAATAAAGAGAGAAAGAAAGAAAGACAGAAAGAGAGAGAGAGAGAGAGAGAGAGAGAGAGAGAGAGAGAGAGAGAGAGAGAAAGAAAGAAAGAAAGAAAGAAAGAAAGAAAGAAAGAAAAAACATGGACAGAAGGCTGAAGCTAGACATGTTCTCACTGGAGCTGGTCCCAAGTTGTGCTGGGCACCTAGGAGTCAGATGACTTGCGGTCACACTGAAATCATGGTCCTGCCAAAATTGGGGGTTGGTGAGCCCAAGGCCCTTGGCAGAGGATGCACCACAACGGAGAGAGGAACCAGTACAATGAGTACTTGAAATTTGGGCCTGCTAGGGGAGGTGACCTGCTGGATGACATATTGGAGTTGGGCAGGATGGGCCTGAACCCAGAACCACAGTGGCCACTCCTGGCCCAAAGTGGACTGGTAGGATCTGCTTGGGCTGGGTCACATTTCTGGTTGGGACCCAATAGCCAGGGGCGAAACTGTCCCGAACCTGTGACATCCACACAGCACAGACTAATATGGTGAAAGCACTCACTGGTTGACTGGCGTAGAGGAGAGGGGCCAGCCTACATTGCCCCTGTACCTCACAGATCAACAGCAAACTGAAGAGGGTAGCAATCCTCTAGCCAGCATGCCTCTGAAAAACCGTAAGCAATATGGAAAGGACCTGAGACCTCCACCATACACCTGTCTGAAAAAAACCAGGAACATGACAAGAGAAAGAAACAAGAAAAAGCCTCCAACTACTGACCCAGGGAAAATAAATCCAGGAAAGGTAAATACAGAAGAGATCAAAGGCAGCAAACATGCAATTGGACACATCAGTTGATAAAGAAATATCTTCATGACATTATAGATGAACTTAAAACTGAAATTCTAATTCAAGTAAAGCAAGATGTAGGAAGATTAATAAAAGAAATGCTAAACACCTTTCAAGAAGATACAGATGGAAGAATGGAGGAACCCATAAAAACAAAAGAAACCTTTGATGAAGAATATAAACAAAATCTAGAATACACTAAACAGATCCAAAGAGATTACCAGGAAATTAAAAACTCCATTGAAAGCCGGCAAAATTGCTTGATAGAAACTTGAAGATAGACTTTCAATGTGTGATTGCAAAAGAAAAGATCTCTTAAAAATAAGAAGGAACCAGGAAGTAATAATATAAAGGCTAGAAGATGTCAAGAGGATCTATAATTTATGAATAAAAAATATGAGCCAAGAAGCAGGGGTAAACACAAATGAAATGCAAAGATTATTCACAGAAATAATTAAGGAAAACTTCCTAAGTATAGGAAAAGAAAATGATATTCAGATATATGAAGCATACAGAACTCCAGCCAGCTACAACTAAAACAGATCTATACCCAGACATATAATAATCAAGATCCCCAAAATTCATCGTAAGAACAAAATATAAAAAGCTATCAGAGAAAAGAAACATATCATCTATAAAGAAAAACCCATGAAAATCACAACAGACTTCTCAACACAAACCATCAAATCAAGAAGAGATTGGAGAAAAGTGTTCCAAGCCCTGAAAGAAAATAACCTCCAACCTAGATTGATGTATTCTACAAAACTGTCTCTCAAAATTAATGGAGAAATAGATGTTTCTACCACAAAGAGGAGCCAGGGAAGTTAGTGACCACCAATCCAACCCTACAAAAAATACTGAAAACATTCTAGAGAGAGAGAAAACAAAACACCAGGGTTTCAGGAACAATGGCAGAGAGGCCTCAATGAATGGGGCAGACAGTGGAATGAAGGAGAAAAGAGACAACCAATGGCAGAAAAATAGCATAGCAGAGATGAGGCAGAGAAGACTGGCTGTAATCTCTAACACAGATGGCCTTGATACACTAACAACAACAACAACAACAACAACAACAACAACAAAAAAAAA